GATTGTGACTTTTAAAACTACAACTTACATAAAAAATTTGTAGAAACATTTACAACAACAACAAACATATAGGTACATTTGTTGCATGTATGCAAAATATATTTTTTTTATTTTCAATAATTTTTTTTGGTTATCGATATCGAAATAGAAAAAAAACTAAACAAAAAAAAATCAAAATTATGATCAAAACATCACATCACACACACACATGACTTTTTCATATGTTCGATTCAAAGAATTTCCAAGAAAATTTCCGCAGTGTCTTATTTTCTATATTCCCCGTAAACTTTCTAAAATTGATTTTTTTTTTTTTTGAAAAAAATTTTCAATTTTTTCATTTTTGAAGTTCCTGTCGTTTGATAAAATTGAATTCAAAATCAGCGATGACCTCAATGAAACAAAACAAAAACAAGTTTATTGGCCAAAAAAGAAAAACAAATTTTTTAAACGGAAAAACGAAAAATTAATTTCCGAAAAAGTGAAAGGCTGAATATGATTTGCTGATTTACCACTCTCTCTGTCCTTGACATCCAATTTTGCTGATTTGTGATTTCCGATAATTTTTTCCGATGAAAAAAACCACTTTCCATCATCATCCACAGATATCACGATCATCATGATTCGATAAAGGTGGTCGGATCATTTTTTGCGAAAAAAAAATAAAGATATTGAAATTTTCTTCTGCCTATCGCAATGATTGTTCAAAGATTTATCAATTCAATCCATAATGAAAACCCGGAAAATCAAAAAAACATTACGGAAAAACAAAAAAAAATTATCATTGATTATCAACCGCAAAATTAACAGCAAACATCAAATCAAATCGAAAAAACTTGAAACAAGTCAGAAAAAAAAAAATTTCAATTTCATCATCTAATCGAAGGACGACTGTATTATATTTTGCACTTTTGTTACTTTACTTTTACTACTACCACTACTATCGCTACAGTGCTACCACTACTACTAAAAAGGATCATTTATTATCATCAAATGCGATGGTGATTGGTAACATTTAAACACAAAATATTCGTTTTTTTTGTTGTTGTTGTTGTTGAAACACGTACAATCCAAACAAACAATTGTAAAATTGAATTAACACGCATACATTGACTGTTGATGTTTCGTTGTTTGTTTTTGTTGTTTTGCTCAATCCACGGGTTAGTTTGACTAACCAAAATCATCATTCATAATCAAAAAACAACAACGAACAAAATAATAATTAAAAAGTAAGTAAAAAGAAAGTAAAAAACCTGGATTTTTTTTGAGATAATCTTTTTGTAAACAAACGAAAACAAAGTTTTTTTCTGTTTTTGGTCAGAATTTCCCCGAAAAACAAACAATTCCTTTGCTAAAATCCAAATCTGTACTATATTTTTCCCTTAATCTTTATCAAGAATTCAAGTTTGGTGTTTTTTGGTTCATTTAAAAAAAAATTCTGTCAAATTTCCAAACCAAGGCAAATGAAAAACAACAACAACAGCAAATAAACAAACATTAATCCAGAATATTTTCCTTATGACTTTTTATCCACTTTACCAAGAAGCAAAAAATAAAGAACATTAAGAATTAAAATTCTGTAGCTGGAGAAAAAAAAAGAATTCAGTAAAAAATCTATATGTCGATTCTACACATACATTCACATTACCGATTCTATATAATTTTTCTCATCTAGTTTCTACAAATTCTGTTGTTGTTGTCACAAATATATTCTGTAGAATCTACCATTTTTTTTTTGGTTCTCACTGCAGTTCAGCACTGCGATAAAAAAAAGGGAAAAGAATTCTTGCTCTGTGTTTGTTTGTTTGTTTTTGTTTTTTTAACTGAATTTTTTTTTCAAAAATTTTCATATTTATTTTCTCTCACTTCACTTTTTTTCAATCATATGACTTGTTTGTTTTTCGGGTAAAGTCATCACATCATCATCCTTCATCATCATTTGTAAAAGAAAACTGAATTTGTAAATTTAAAAAATATAGAAAATTATAAATAAAATAAAAATATAAAATATAAAAAATGACAACACCAACAAAACGTCGTTTGATGCGTGATTTTAAACGGTAGGTTTTTTTCTATTTCGAATCGAATTTAATGAAATTTTGAATTTTTCCCGGGTTAAAAACAGAATTCAAGATGATCCACCACCGGGTATTAGTGCTGCACCACATGATAATGATATAATGCGTTGGAATGCTGTTATTTTTGGGTAAGTTTTTCCTGGTTTTTCCTGGTTTTCTAATCATTGAATCCAATGACAAACCATCCATCAATGATAATTATATATTTCAGGCCACCAGGTACACCATATGAAGATGGTACATTTCATTTAACATTACAATTTTCTGATGATTATCCAAATAAACCACCATCAGTAAAATTTGTATCAAAAATGTTTCATCCAAACAGTATGTCTTCTTTGTTGTAATTAGTTTTTGTTTTTGTAATTAATAATCTCTCTTTCTCTCTCTCTCTCTATTATTATTATTAGTTTATACTGATGGTAGTATTTGTTTAGATATATTACAAACACGTTGGAGTCCAACATATGATGTATCAGCAATATTAACATCAATACAATCATTATTAGATGAACCAAATCCAAATTCACCTGCAAATGCATTAGCAGCACAATTATTTATGGAAAATCGTAATGAATATATAAAACGTGTTTCAGCTATTGTTGAATCTAGTTGGATTGAATCAGTTGATAATGTTATTGATGATCCATCAAAATCATGTCCATCAACATCATCAACAACATCATCATCATCAACAACGGCTAATAATCAATCAAATGATCGATAATAAATCAAATCAAAATCTATCTACATCATCAAATCGACTAACACTAACATGCATTTTCATTTGGATTGAATTTCACATCTTCTCCCCTTTAACCCCTTCCATACTAATTGACTGTTTGTTTTTTGTTTCTGTTTTTCTGTTTTTTCATTTGATTTGTTTGTTTGTTGCTAATATCGTTGTTTATTCCAAAAAAAAAAAAAAATATTGTAATTTGACCCTGGCACACCTAATCAATCCATCCACAATTTCATTTCACTTTGCATAATTATTTTTCAAATTATAAAACTTTAAAAACAAAAAAATACAAATTTTATCACATTTATGAAATTTTTAAATACTTTTTAAAAGAAAAATTAATTAATTAATTAATAAATTGTGATATGAATAATCATCATATAATTATAATTAATGTAATTAATATCGAGAAAATTATTAAAAGAAAAAATTATTAAAAATTAACCCTGTTGTGGTTGTTGTTTGATTTACAAACTTGGCATCCAAAAATTTTTCTGCCATCAGATTCTATTTTTAGCCATTAAAAGAAACAAATCATAATCGTCGTTGTCATCCATTTTTTGTTCTGTTGAATCGATGAATGACATCATACACACATCAAACGTCATCATTTTGAAATTCAAAAAAATTTTTATTATTAAAAAAAGTTTAGTTTTTTAAATAAAATAAAAAATTACATTACAAATATTGATTTTGAATAAATTATATTAGTAGATTGGGATGGATCACAACAACAATAATAATAATAATGATAAAACAAAAAAAAAGTTAGAATTTCAGGCTGGTTTTAATGGAAACAAAATTCTAAAGTACTTCTAGATCAACATGACGAACTTCAGGATGTTTAGCTTTTAATTCATTTTCAATACGATCAACTTCAGCACCTAATAAATCGACAATATTTTCACCATGTTTAAGCATAAATTCTTCACATTCTTCCATTGTTTTTACTGAAAGCATTTCCTATGATTGAAAATTGTTTTTAAAACATTAAAAATTAAAAATCAATTTGAAAACAAATCAAATGAAAACAAACCTTGTATAATACTTCCAAATCAATAGAATCAAGATAATTTCTAGTCAATTTACGTCCATCAAAATCAACTTCGGCTAATGAAAAATGAAAAAAAAATCACAAATCAAAAACAAGTCAAGAAATGGTCAGAAATATCCAATTACCTTTATAACGAACCATATCATTACCCATATGTGTTGCTTTAACATCATGTATAGCACGAACCATACCATCGGATTCAAGAAATTTATTTATATCGGCCATACGATTTGGTGGAATTGATTTACCAACTAATGCACCGGCATTCGTGTAGATAACAAACGATGCAACTACACCTAATAATGCACCGATTGCTATTGAACCACAAGCATCAAATATTGGTGTATTAAAATATGATGTTAAACCCATACAACCGGCTGCAATTGAAACACCTAATACAGCGGCAAAATCTTCTAAAATAACAACATTTAATGTTGGATCACTACCGGCTAAAACTGAAAATGAAATTTTTAAAATACAATAACAAATATAAATGAACAATATTGAACATACTGAATTGTGTTAATGATATTCCTTTTAATGATGCTGAACGTCTTGCAGCATTTAATGCAATAATTAATGTACCACCTTCAGATATAAGTGAACCAAGTAATATAAAATATGCCCAATAATATGATTCAATTGGTTCTGGATGTAATAAACCATCAATACCATGATAAATACTTAAACCAGTACCAGTACAAAATATTGCTACACCAGATATTAATGATGATATATAACGCATTGGATGATAACCATATGGATGATCTTTATTAGGCACTTGTATTGATTTTCTTATACCGAATGCTAATAATAATTGATTACAAGTATCAGCTAATGAATGTATTGCTTCCGAAAATAATGAATGAGATCCGGTATAAAGCCATGCAAATAATTTTAGAAAAAAATTTGCACCATTTCTATGCAAAAAAAAAACAAACAAAATAAAATATGACAAAAAAACAAATGCGATACTAACATCATCACAGCGGCCATTACAACACGTCCAGCTTCACGCATAACATGTTCACGAAATTTTGCTTGTGGTGTATTTAAACGACGATAATCTTTATTATATTTTTTAACAATTAAAAGACTATCACTATAACTTTCTTCTTTTTCTTTACGACGTCTTAATTCTTCATTAAGACGATCCCAATTTTTCCATACTTCAAGTGCTCTGTTTGTGTTAAAATTGAAGAATTTTAGAAATATAACATTATAACATTAGCAACAACAAAAACTTACTTTGCTTCAACATCTTTACGTAGATAAACAGTAATCGGTGGTTCATCATTATAAGGGCTACGTCTTTGAAATTTACGTAAATCGACTAGATCCGATATATCCAATGCATATTCACGCATTGCACGTGTTGTTGTTATAAAATTACGACCTAATGTTAAATCTTTATTACGTTCTTTTGTATTTGTTGTTTTTACTTTCGGTATCACTGGAGGAAAAAAATTCAAAAAAGAAAATAATAATCATTATTCTCAAATCAAATAAATACCATGTATATCTTCAGGTTTGGAACTAGATGTATTGGATAATGGTCGTATTAATTGTAACCAATAATTATAATTAATCAATAATGGATAACGATTTTGTTGTTGTTGTTGTTGATTAAATGATCGACAATAATGATAATGATGATTATTTTGAAACAAAGATGATGATGATAATGATGAAAAATTTAACATTGATGATGAACCATATTTTTTAAAATGATGATGATGACGAATCATTAAACGAAATAATACCATTTTTGAATGATTTGTTAGACGATAATTGGCCATCAAATTCGATATGATAGTCATTTTTTTTTTTGATTTTGATTTTGATTTTTCAAATTTGATGAATAATATCAACAACCAAAAGTAAATCAAATCTGATTATTATCGACAAACGAATTTTTTTTTTTTGAAAAAATTCGAGCGATTTGAATAAAACTGTGGAATGGAATCGTAATTTGTTGGTTGGTTACTGAAGAATAATCAATCAAGATTCTTATTCATCAGAACCAGGTAACAAAACAGAAAATCAAAAATCAGACAGATGAAACATCAATAACAAACTTTCAAGGTTTTGTTTTTGTTTTTTGTTTTTCAAAAAATAGCAGCGGTAAAAACAATAACAACAAGCGCTTTTTGTTATATTGAGAGAATTGTTGGCAACCGCAAACAGAAGAAAACCCGTCATAAAGTACGTTTTTTATTTGAAAATTTATTTTAACTACGAAAAATTGATATTAAAATTCAAAAATTTTAAATAATTTTCGCTTCTTTTGCTAACGAATAAAATTGTCCATCAATATTTTTGATTAAACGATTTGGATTATCAAATTCAATCATTTCACCATTATCCATAACCAATATATAATCATAATTCATAATATAATCTAAACGATGTGCAATCATAAATACCGTTTTTGTTTGAAATGTTTCGGAAAATATTGTATCATGTATATGGCCATCGGTTTCATGATCAACAGCTTTTCATTGTGAAGAAAAATGAATGTAATTATTAATTTACAAAAAGAAAAAAAGAAAAAACAATGAAACAAAAAAAAAACTTACAAGCAGTTGCTTCATCAAATACAATAATTGAACTACGTTTAAGTAATGCTCTGGCTAAACAAATTAATTGTCGTTGTCCAACACTTAGATTATCATTACTTGTCAGCATATAATCAAGATTATAATTAATATTTTCTAAAAATTCATTCATTTTTGCATCTTTTAATGCCTGTATACATTGTTCATCATTAAATCTGGATAATGTATCAACATTTTCACGTAATGTTGCTGTAAATATTATTGGATCTTGCGGAACGATGGTCAATGATTTTCTTAATGTTTCCAATGTTACTTTACGTATATCAATATTATCAATATAAATTGTACCTTCGATTGGTTCTAGTACACGAAATAATGCTAATGCAAATGATGATTTACCTGAACCAGTACGACCAACAATAGCAACTTTACTACCACCAGGTATTAGAAGATTTATACGTTTCAGACAAAGTTTTAAACCAGATCGATATTGTGTACTATAATTTTCGAATGATATTTCACCTTTTTCCGGCCAATCAAACGGTAAACGTTCCAATTCATTGCTAATTAATTGTTTCTTTGTTTTGTTTTGTTTTTGTTTAATTTTTTTGCTTAAAAAATAATCAAAACAAACTAACCTCTTCTGGTGTTGAAATATATTCAACAATACGTTCAACTGAAACAAAATTTGTTTCAATTTCAGAATAACCACGTATCAAAAGATTAAGTATAGCTGTTATATTCAATGAATAACTAATAGCTAAACCAGCAACACCAGGACTTAATGTACCACGTGATAATATTGCAAATAATGTTGCTAAAAATACAATCGAATAGCTTATGAATTCCAGTCGTATTGCTAACCATCTTGCAGCCGTAAAACCTAACCAATAACTTTGATTATTATCATCAATACGTTTTAACATGATACGTTGAAATTTTTTTGTTAATCCATATGCACGTATACTTGTTATACCATTTACTGTTTCACTGTTTTTTCAGTTGTAAAAAAAAGAAGTAAATAATATAATGGTTGAATGAAAAAAAAAAACATTAAAAATCATACCTAAGATGATTATTTAATGGTGATCGACTAACAGCTTCAATACGTTTTAATTGTCTTGATGTTTGTATAAATAATTTTTGTAAAATATAATAACCAATTGTTAATGGAAGGAAAAATGCTAGAATAATTGGTGCTTCCAAACCAATCAAACCAAATGCAACAATTGTACGATAAATTTGCATTATAAATAAACGTATGTTTGATGATATCCGTAAATCAACAACATCAATATCTTTTGTAAAACGATTCAATATACGACCTAATGGTGTTGTATCGAAAAATGACATTGGTGCCCGAATAATATGTGTTATCATTTTATTATGTAATATACGTGATGCACGTACACAACCTAAACTTGTTTGTAATGTACCAAGAAATGTAAAAAATACTTCAATTATACCAAGCACGGCGAATACAATAATACGTTCCCAACGTAAATTATTAGTTAATTCATTTGATGGTCTTAATGAATCATTTGACCAATCAGTTAACCATAAACTACTCATTATTTGAAATAAATTTGATAATAATAATGTTAACATTACCGATAAACAAATATACCATCCAATTGTTTTTAAAAATATTTTATGATTAATTAATTTCACTGAACCTTCAGCCATTTCTTCTGTTTGTATTAATCTACCATCATTAATTTGTCTAGTACTAGTTTCAATAAAATTTATTTCACCCGATTCAAACATTGTTGATTCTGTTTGTTGTTGTAATCGTTGTGATTGATTATAATCAATATTTGATTGATTTGTAAATGTACTATGTTGTAAACGTTGTTGTTGTTCATTCATAGATATATTACGATTATACGATATACTACGTGATAATTGTACATGTTCAATTGCTTGTTTAATTTTTGGTTCAATTTGATTAATAAATTCCGAATCTGGTTGATCTAAATCCGTAACAATACCATTTTGTTGATCAAGAAAATATTCAGCAACATATTTTGAAAATGGACCATCATTTTCAATTAATTGTTCAAATCGTCCTTGATCTTTTATTTCACCGCGTGATATATAAATAATTTCATTCATTTTTGGTAATAATGATAATTTTGTTGTAACTAAAATTCTTGTTTTATTACGAAGGCAACCATTTGGTCCGATAACATTTTCAAATATATGCTGACTTACGTGTGCATCTAATGCACTTTTAAAATTTTTTTTAAAAAGTTAAAAATTTATAAATTTATAAATTATAAATTATAAATTACAAAAAATCATGAATTACCTTAAAGGATTATCCAATAAATAGATATCAGAATTTGAATAAACAGCTCTTGCTAATGATATTCTTTGTTTTTGACCACCGGAAAGATTAATACCTTTTTCACCAACTTCAGTTAAATCACCTGCAGCAAACATTGCCATATCCAATTGCAGTGCACATGTATCTAAAACTTTTTTATATTTTTTTTCATCATATTTTTTATTCAATAAAATATTATCACGTATTGTTGCATTTAATATCCATGCTTCTTGCGGTACATATGCAATACGACCATCAATTTCCACTCGGCCATCATTTAATTTTTCCATTTCACCAAGACAAGCTGATAATAATGATGATTTACCACTGCCAACACCACCAACAATACCGATTAATTGATGTTTTCTAATCGTAAGATTAATATCGTGTATTGTTGGTATTGGATCATTTTCAATCCAATTAAAATTTCCATTACTTATACGTATTGCTATTTGTTGTTGTTGTTTGTCATTGTCATCATCATCGTTTTCGTTGTTTTTTGATTCAAATGATTGTTTATTTGAATGTATTATTGTTTCACTATAATCACTTAATTCAGGTGCATTAATAAATTCATTTAAACGTTTTAATGATACTAATGCAATTGCGGCAAATGAAAAAAATAATGGTAAAAATGTTAATGGTACACCTAATGTTTGATTGAAGTGAGAGAAAAAATGAAGAAAGGATTATTATTTTTTTACAAAGAGAGATTTACAATTTATACATACGAATAATATTGAATAATGATAATGAAACAAATGCACGATTAGCATCCAAAACATTATCATCGGACATCAATGTATAAGCCATAAAACTAAATAATGCAACAAATATTGAACCAGAACTAAAAAATGTTGTCATAAATGTATTACAATAAGCGATATATTTTAATTGTTTCATTTCTAATGAACGTAAATGATTGATTTTTGTTTCAAAATGTCTTTCCCATGCATTCAATTTAATTACTTTAATACCATTCAATATTTCATTCATTAATTTTGAACGGGAATCTTTACGTGTCATTAAACGTAGCTGATATGAACGTATTAAATTTGTTAACATAATATTAACCGGTACAATTAATAACATATAACTAAACCCGGCTAATGATGCATAACTTAATTGTAACCAAACTAAATATAAACCAATACAAATTTGTAATGGTGCCCACCATAATGTATTAATATTATTAATTAAATCAACAATTCTTAATGTATCAACTGAAATTAGATTAACAATTTCACCGGTTGAAAATTTTTGCTTGGCTGTTGGTGATAAACGTAAACTTTTTTGATAAACAATTGCCGTTATACAGGTTTTCATACGCATTGTAATCATATTAATTTGATATTCATGTTGATTTGTAAATAATGATTCAAACATTGGTGATATAAACATTATGAATGCATAAACAAAACCACGCCAATATGGTTCTGTATTTGTTGGTTTTAAAAATGTTATTATACGATTCAACATTATTGGATTAATGAATAAAAATACACAGGCTATTAATTTCAATAGAGCAATCCAAAGTAATTCGGGTAAATATAAACGAATCAATATTGACATCATATTAAATTGTTTATTTTTTTCACGATAACCATTATATGATTGACGAAATGATTGCATTAATAAATTACTTGTATTTTCTAAACTTAATAACCACATATTTTCTTGTTGTAATGATTTTTGTCGCCATTGTCTTTTAACAAGTTTTGTAAACCATGAAAATGTTATACGTGAAAAAAATGATGCCGAACATTCGGGATTTATTAGTTTGGATTTTAATGATTTTGTTCCAAATTTTCTTTTCATTGAATCCTGATTTGAATAACATTCTAAATAAAATATATATAATATCGATGCTATATAAATTAATTTCATTATAATCATTGAAGAATCATAATTAATCATCCATAATTCTTGATTATTATTATCATTGAATAAATCCATAAGAATATTTATCGCTAGATAAATATTCACCAATGATTCTAATAGAAAATAAATGAATAATGAACCAGAAGAAACAATACGATTACGATGATTATAAATTGAAAATAATATTATTATTAACCATGCTAAAGCATGAATAGAATCAGCTAAAATCGTTGACCATTGATCCATCAATTCTAATTGATTTCGATCAGCATAAAGATACCAATATATTATACGCGCTAAACTTGTTATATATAAAATACTTGCAGCAAACTGGTGAAAATTGAAAAAATCAAAAAATCAAAAAATTGGAAAATCAATAAGCAAAAACTTGGTTCAAAAACCCAATAATTGATTGTTGAGAATTAAGCAAACAACAACAAACAAACTACAAACCATTTTTGAAATGAAAAATATTGTAATCGAAAGCGATGATGATGACACTTGTTGACGATTATTGTTGTTGTTGTTGAAATATTTTTGTTGTTGTTGCGGTTGTTGTTGTTGTTGATACGGTTTTTTTGATCGTTTTATCCAATAAAATTCAATCATTATACCAAATATTAATAATATGAATGGTATCCAAACAAATAATGTATTTTCAGTACAGGATATTCTATTACTGTTGCTGGTAAATATCATTGATTCTGGATCGATAATAGTCGATTCTGGCTGCATCGTTGTTGTTTGATTCACAAAAATAGGTGAATGTGAATCAATCGAACCGAATATATCTTTGATTGGTGATTCAATCAATCCTGATGATTGATTCTGATCATCATCGATCAATGGTGGATTATCATCGGAAGAATCGATAAACAATTGAAAAAAATCCATTATAATTGGCCAATTTTGTTGATTTGAATTTGGATGAACATTTTTTAGACAAAATGGTCTTTGTTGTTGTACAACTTCATTATTCTCCATGATTTTTTTCGATCTGGATTCGGAAACTATTTCAAATCATATTCAAAAGATGAAAATAAAGTGAAAAAGTGCAATTTTTTTTCGGATTTTATTCAAGAACGAAAAATTTCATCAATTATTGCACACACAAACAAACAAACACACGGAAAGAAGAAATCCATAATAATAAAAAAGTTTATCATTTGTTTCTTTCCAAAATGCAAATTGATTAGAAAACGAAACGAAGATTATTTTGTTTATTTATTTACTTTAGTTTTTTCCTCTGGTTATTTATCAAGAGAAAATCAATTAAAATAACAAAATTATCAATTGATTATTTATCGAAAATAATCGATACTTTTTTTTCTGTTTCTATCAGTGTCTGTCTGTGGATGATATGATTTTTTGAAGTTTTCTTTTTTTTCTTCAACAAAGAAAAAAAGGAACCGGAATTTTTCGTCACCCTATACACCGGTCACTATTTTCATTTGATCATCATTCGTGTGTGAAAATAGCTAAAGTTTGTGTGATCCCTTCGAATCGAACGATTTCGAAATGATTCGAAATTTGAAAATTTTTTTTGTTTTTTCAAATTTCACCGCCCTTTGACCATGTATTGAATTCAAAACAGAAAAAAAACCACAAAACCGCTACCACCACCACCACCACCAACGACATTATCAATCAAACAAAAACAACAACAACAAAGATCTTCATTCGCCATTATCATCGATCAACAGCAACAACAACAACAAAAAATCGTCTTGATCTTCGTTCTTCTTCTTCTTCTTTTTCCAGGAATGATCTTTTTTGTTTCAACCAATCATCATTTTGTATATCATACTTCTGTACTACTACGAAAAAAGAAACAACAAGCCAAACAAACAAGAAACAGAAAGAGAGAGAGAGAGAACCATAATGGACTAATGGAAACACTTGTAGAGCCAGCCAATATATCGTCGTCGTCGTCGTCGTCGCAAAGAAACAACGACAACAACAAAATTTGAGCTCCAAATAACCATATATACAACATACAACATATACACCACACAACAAAAAAAAAACATAGATTGGGTGAAAAAGAGAGAGAGCAAGTGAATGAATGAAAGAAAGAAAAAATCTTCATTGAATATCATCATCAATTTAACCAATAAAACCAAAAAGAAAAAATGTCCAGATTCAATCCATAATGATAATGATAATCCACATCTAATGCCACTACTACTATCATTTTTTGTTGGTTTGATGATAATAAATCCACATCATCCAATGAATGATCATTTTTGAATGGATCGAAAACCAGAAAAAAAAATCTGATTTAGTTTTTATTCGGTCCATTCAAATGTTTGTGTTTGTGTCTGTTTTGATCAATCCAAAAAAAAGTGAATATGTATCATCACCAGCCAACATTTGACATTTTCATCAGCCAGCAAAAAAAATTACCTTTAAAGCATCATGATATCTGAATTTGATTTTTGATGTGTGTGTGTGTTTGGTGTATGACTTGACAATAACATTGAATTTTTTTTTCTATTATCCAAACATCAATCCTATATCCCATCGATGATGATGATAATGAACATTTTATTTATTATTGTCTTTTGATCATCAACCAATCAACCACCATATATTTATGTTTGTTTGTATGATACAAGTGTGTTTGATTTGTTGTTGTTGTGATCATCGTGATACACATTATAATACACCATTGTGATAGTTGATAGTTTGCTAGAGAGAGAGAGAGAGAGAGAGAGAGAACACCTTTCTCTCTCCCTGTGTATGTTGTGATGCTGCATTTTGTTCGTGAAACCCAGCAAAAAAGAAAAAAGATCGCACATAGGTTTTCTTTGAACATTTTGGTTTTTTTTTGATTCAATTTTTGTGATCTTTAGCTTCAAATGTCAATCAATCAATCAATCAATCAGTTTTTCTTTGGAATGAATCAATGATATTTTAATCAAATCAATCATGGTACAATTGGAAACTATGAATACTAATAACAACAACAACAATAATCTGAATCAAGTAAATATGAATAGCCTGAATAATAATAATAATAATTTAATGATGACGATGAATATGGAATCATCAACAACATCACCATCATTATTATTACCATCATCATCATCATCAATATTGAATAATAATAATAATAATTCAATGTCAACAATTGAAACAATGTCGACGACATTAAAATCATCATTACCACCAAATATTATCATTCAACAACAACAACAACAACAAGATACAATAACAACAACAACAACAACAATGACCAATTCATTATTATTACCGAATAAAATATTATTAAATGTTTATATGCCAAATCAACAACGTACTATTGTTGAAATTAATCATAATCGTAATCAGAATAATAATGGTGGCTTACAACATCCACAAACAATACGTGATGTATTGATGAGAGCAATGAAAAAACGTCGTCTTACAACTGATGTTTGTTATGTTTGTTATATTGATAATGGGTATGTTTTTTTTGATCGATTTTCATTCTGGATTATCTATCTGTGAAATTGTGAATAATATTTTCATTATGATTGTTGTTGATTGATTAGGAAACCAATCGATTGGGATGTTGAAGTATCACGTTTAGTTAGTCGAAATATTGAAGTACGAATTATATCACATGAAATACGAAGAGAATTTTTTCCATTAGCAAATTGTGATCTTTGTCGTAAATTATTATTTCATGGTTTACGTTGTCAAGCATGTGGTATACGTTATCATTTACGTTGTGAACAATTGATCTCACCAATATGTCGTGCTGGTCAACATTCAATACAACAAAATAAAATTGGTCGTCATCATTATCGTAAAAATCAATCAAGAGGTATCAATGATTTGAATGGTAATAATATTGGTACTATTCAAAATAATGGTTCATCCAGTAATAGCGGTAAACAAGATATTAAACGTACTAATTCTGAACCTGATCGTATCAATACAATTATCAATACTGATCAAACAACATCAACAACAACAAAACTTGAACAAAATAATAATCAAATTATTATTAATCATAATAATAATAATGCCAATAATAGTAATCATCATAATCATAATAATAATCGTCCAAGATCAGCTGATGAAAAATTACATATCGATTCGAATCGTGAATCAATACGTGATTGGGAAATACCACAATCAGAAATTATTGTTCGTGAATGTATTGGATCTGGTTCATATGGTACAGTATTTCGTGGACATTGGCATGGTTCGGTTGCATTGAAAAAATTAAAAGTTGCTGAACCAACACAGGCACAGCTTTTGGTATTTAATTTTTTAATTTTTATCGTTTGATTTGGCAAAAATTAAAAAAAAATAATTTCTTTTTTCTTTCTTTAACAAAAGGAATTCAAAAATGAAATTGCCGTTCTGAGAAAAACACGTCATGTGAATATAATATTATTTATGGGTTATGTATCGAAACCACATTTAACAATTGTTACACAATGGTGTGAAGGTTCATCATTATATAAACATTTACATGTTATGGATACAAAATTTGAAATGATACAAATGTTTAATATTGCAAGGCAAACAGCACAAGGAATGGATTATTTACATGCTAAAAAAATTATTCATCGTGATCTTAAATCAAATAGTTAAGTATTTTGATTGTTGTTTTAATGGTGATGAATTCTAATCAAAATGATTGTTTTTTTTCGGTGCAGATATATTTCTTCATAAAGATTATACGGTTAAAATTGGTGATTTTGGTCTGGCAACCGTCAAAACTCAATGGGATGGTTCACAACGTCTTAATCAACCAACTGGATCGATATTATGGATGGCACCTGAAGTGATACGTATGGCCAGTAATAATCCATATACATTTCAAAGTGATGTTTATGGTTATGGTATTGTACTATATGAAATTGCAACAAGTCGATTACCATATCAACATATAAATAATCCACATCAAATACTTTATATGGTTGGTCGTGGACATTTACGACCAGATTTCAGTAAAACACGTGATGGTTTACCGAAAAAATTTATAAAACTTATTGAAAATTGTATCGATTATGATATGCAACGTCGACCATTATTCAATAAGGTAAAATCATGAATTATTTTTATTTTTATTTTTTTGATAATATTTTTCTTTTTTTTAAGATTCTTGAACGTTTGGATAATATACAAGTACCACGTATATTACGATCAATATCGACACCAAATCTAAATGAAGATTTTGTATTTGGTAAATCATCAGCTGCCGATTTTGTTGATTTTGATCTACATGAATATCGTTCAATGTTACCACAAACAACAATAACAACAGCAACAACAACAACAGCCAATAATAATAATAATGGTAACAATAATATCGATGATTATATGGATTGTATTGATGATACCGATGATGATGATGATGATGATGATGGTGATGATACCGATGAAACATCATCATCGGTATCATCACCAACACAGCCATTATCACCACAACAATTTACTACCACTACTAGTCGATTGAATAATAATAATCATCATCATGATCCATTTAATAATAATAATACTGACGACGATAATAATAATAATAATCAGCCAACTACATATTATATGCTTACACAGATTTGAAACATCAACAACAACAACAACAAAAATTCAATCAATCAAACACACAACACACACAGTCATTATCATTGATAATTAACATTTTTTTTTTCTTTCTGTCTACACAACAACAACAACAACAACAACGACGACGAAAAACAAAAACTTGACATTATCATATATGAAAATGATGAATTTTATTATTTTATTTTATTTTTTGTTCATTTTATCATCATCAACAAATTTTATTTTCATTTTAGCCATTCAATCATTGAATCATCAAATCAATCATTACGTTTTTTTTTGAAAACATAGCACACACATAGCGTTTTTTTTCATTTTTTTCTCTCTCTTGCAGTTTGAGAGAGAGATAGAAATTAAATAATTAGGATTTTTTTAATTTTTCACCCTTTCCACCAACACACTCAACAACAACAACAAAAACAAATTCCAAACACAAATCATTTATTCATAATAAAAAAAATCATTATTTAAACTCAAATTCAAATTCATTTTTTTTATTAATTAGTTTTTTTTATCCAATTCAGTTCAATAATAAAATCAATCAATCAATCAATCAATCATCAATAAATGCTGTTTTGAAATATATAATGACCAGAGAGAAATTAAACAAAACGAACGAAAGAAAAAAATGGTGAAAAAAAATTTGAAAAATTATATAAAAAAAGAAGAAAGAAAACAAGCAATCTTTTTTTTTTGTTGTTGAAGGAATTGTGTAGACTAGATTCAAATATGTTTTTTTTTTGCAAAATAATAATCAATCAATCAATCCATTTTGTCATGATGATCATCATCATTATCCATTGATGATGATATTAATGGTGTTGAAGAATGATTATGATGTGGATGACTTTTTTGTTGTTGTTGTCGTTGTCGACAGATATTTGATTTCGGATTGATTTGATCATTTTCAATCAAAATTCGTTGATCATCATCATTATCCAATTCTTGTTCTGGCTGTTCTGGTTGCTGTTGTTGATCATCATCATCATCATCATTATCATTTTCTGTATCTGAATGATCACTTTCATCACCATCACCATCATGATTATTATTATTATTATTATTGACCATAGTTTGACGACTACGATAATGTTCACGTATAAAAAATTCAATATCATTAACACTGATATTTGCTTCAAATTTATTTAATAAATAATTAAAACGTATTGTTGGTCCACCGCCATAAATTTTTGAAAATAATTGCCAATAATCATTTGATACTAGATAGAATACACAGCAACTATTTTCTTCATATAGGCCACCATATCTGGTATGGAATGCAAATCGATAACGACATGATAAATTACGATTAAATTGTTCAACATTTACATTGTTTAAATCATCATCATCATCATTATCTTCGTTCTTATTATTATCAGAATCATTAATGGTTGATTGATTACCGGCAAGAATTTCGGCAAACAATTTACAAAGATCATCATATTTAGTTGCCATATCGATTGTCATTGATTTTTGTTGTTTATTTGGATCTTTATTCAATAATTCACGATTACGATTTTCGGTTAAAATTTTTCTTTTTATACCAAATATTGGCCAATTATCAATAGGACCTGGTGGTAATACAGTATGTAAATCTAAATCAATTTGTTTAAGCATATGTTCAGCATCGATTTGAAATTGATTTTTATTCATTGTATTCATTATTGAACGTAATAATGATGCTAATGGTGGATGTATTGTTTGTGTACGTAAATGTATCATACGATGATATTGTTCATCATATGGTTGTGGATTTTGTTGTCGTTCTTCATGTTTTTTAAATATTTGATCATATAAACTAAATAATTGTCGATCACGTCCATTAACAGTTGTTTGATCAAAACGTACATTAACAAAACTTAACCATTTTATTATCCATTCAGCTGATATTAGATAATAATATGCTGATTGTTCATCTAATATTTTCATTTCGATTGATGATTTTTTTGTATCATTCTTGGTTTTTTGTTCATCTTGATTATCATCATCATCATCATCGGCAGTGGTAATAATGGCACCATTTTCATCAGATTTTATATCATTATCATCATCATCATCATCTTCATTCGAAATTATTAATAAATTATCTTGATCACCGTTGTCATTATGTTCATCATCTTCTTCATGTTCATCATCATCATCATCATTAGGTTGATCACATTTATCAAATATAATCATTAATTCACTTGTTTTTAATTTCAATTTACGAAACATATGCATATGCATTGATTGTAATTGTATAAATTCATTAAATTCATTTTTACGACGATCATCATACATATCTAATAATGAACTACATTGTAAACAAACAGCATATTGTTGTTTAATATTTGTATTATTTGAATCAATATTAAAATCCAAACAATGAAATAATGGACCACCACCATATAATAGCCATAAAAATTGTCCAACAGGTTGTATAACCGGTAATGATAGATTATTAAAAAATAGATATTCAGTTGGTCGTATTAATCCATGTATACAGAATATATCCGAATTATCAATAGGACCAGGATTCTGTACAGATTGAAATGCCATTAACCAATGTTTACTTAATGGAAAACTTTTCAGATTAATAAATGCATCATTTAGATTTACTTTATAATTTGATGATTCGATTGATGAATTAGTTGTAAAAAAATAATAATCTTGTAGATTAAGATTTAGTCGTTCAAGATAACAATGATCATTACATGTTTCAATCCAACGACGTTCAATATCATAAATAACATTCATAGCACGTGTCATCATTGATTGTTGATCATTACGTTGATAGATTAATATATATGCACTGGATGCCATCGATAAAATTCTATCTTTACTTACATATGATACATGCATATCATCAAATTCATACCAATCTAAATTCATTTCATTCATTGCATAACAAATATAATGACCATTTGTAACCTGTGTACCATTATGACAAACAACAGCAACTAAATCATATTGAGCATCATCATTAACATTATTGGTGGCAGCCATTGATTCAGTTAAAAATGATTTTAATGAAAAATCATTTAATGGAAAATTCAATTGTGATGTAATTTTACGTACAACTGAATTTACATTCTGATAACGATTTAAATGTACAATCAATATTTCGGGTAAACGTTTGATTCGTATACATTTGATACCATTACATAATTGTTTACAATTATCACAATGATAACGATTTTCATTTTCCAATAATTCTGGATTGAAAAATGTTTCCAAACAATCAATTAAATCGACTGATGGATTTGATAAAAATGACATAAACCAATCAAACCAATTCCATAGATAATCATAATAATATCGTACTGTTTCGCTTGCATAATTTAATGATCGTTCAATTAATGATTGATCAGTCGATAAACTTGTTGTTGATGATGACGATGATGATGATGATGATTGTTGTTGTTGTTGTTGATTATTAAACGATGGAACATTTAATCGCATATTGGCTATAAAGATAATGTTTTGAAAATAAAAAATAATTGAAAAAATAAGTAAAACAAAACAACAAAAAAAGCATGAAAAACTTACGAAATACCATTGAATTTTGTATTTTACTTTGAATAGCCCTATCAATAGCTGTAATTGGTATAGAAAGATTAAGAAATGTTTCAATCAATGTTGATGTATGGCCACAATTTGCACAACGTATTGTATTTTCTAATTCACCGGCAAATAAATCGCTTACAATACTACGATATTTAAGATGTTGATCATGATGTTGTTGTTGATTATTAGGATTATGATTATTGTAATTATTGGACGGATTTTGATTATGATTAAATAGATTATAAAGAATTGGTTCATCGGAATCATCATTTTCAATTGATATGTCATCATCATCATCATCATTATGATGATTTTCCATTATTGATTGATAATTTTTCAATTGATTATTACTAATTAAACGCTCATGTTGAATAAATTTATCAATTTTTTCATAATAATCTTTATGATTATCATCATATGTTTCATCAAAATTATATTCTATGTTAAAATTCATAAAGAAAGAGAATCAAAATAGAAAAAAAATTGTAAACATAAAGAGAAAACTTACCGATTAAATATTTAGCCAATTTTCTAAGTTTATAATCACAATTTCTTAATTTATAATATATAAATTGTGATTCAGGATAGAATGGTATTTTTAATGCTTCATGTAAATCACCAAGTAAATATTGTAAAAATTCTTGTGAATCATGTTGATCACCAGGACTAAAAAATGGATATCGTTTCCATATGAATGATACTAATGCTCTTAAAATGACCAATGAATCTTGAGCATAATTTACATTATTCGAAGTTTGTCCTGTTCCTGTTGTTGTATCATTCGATGATGATGATGAATGATTTTGTTGTGATTGATGATTACTATGATGTGGATGATGATTATTTGATGATCGATTTATTGATGGTGATGGTAATGTCCACATTGCCATCATAAATTGATGAAATAATGAATCGATACTATTATCCCATTGTAAACGTAAACGACGAAAATATGTTTCAATAAAATATAAACGTAATGGACGTATATGTATTAATGCTTGTAATGTTGCATTTATATAGCATGTATTTCCTAGATTCTGTAATCCTTTAAGGCCATTAATGGCTTTAAATTTTATTTTATTTTTTGGTGAAAAGAATGAAAAAATTATTTGATTAGGATTTAAAAACGACAGTAAAAAACAAACAGCAGAAAATCAAACCTCTTATATTTTGTGGAAAATCTTCAGCCGCTTCGTTCATTGTTTTTGTTGTTTTTTCTTTTCGATTTCGAAAAAAAATCAAAGTTCGAAAGAATTAATTAAATTCTTGTTTGAATAAATTCCAAGAATCTCAGTTGGATTTGATCTCTGATGATTAAGTAGTTTTTAATTCATTCATCTTTCGTTTTCAAATAAAGAGTTAAGGAAGAAGAAGAAGAAAAAACGAAACAAATAAAAATTCTCCTGGAATTCTTCTGAGTAATCGGGGAAAAACAAAACAAAATAATAAAATATATTTTTCTGGTGTGCTTGGTTTCGTTTATTGATGGTATTTGGTTTGTGTCTGTCTGTCTGTGTGTATGTATGTATGTTTTTGATGTGTTTAATGATGCGCATATAATGCGCAAACTCAAATCGAAATTATTGGATGATATTCGAAACAACAAAAAAAAAAATACAGTATATCTCGAAATTAACTCAAATATCATCCCTCATCATCATAATAGCAAAGTAAACTGCTAGGCGAAATCGATGATATACTGTATGATGATGCTGATGCTGCCTGCAGTAATGTGATTTGGTTTTGATCAGGCCAGATTTTGATAAAAATTTTTTTTGAATGTTTTTTTTTCTCCTGTAAGTTTTTGATTTGATTTGATTAGATTTATTTTATCAAAAAATTATTTTTTTTTTTGACATTGCTACTGACATTCGCTCATTTTTACATTATTACCTTCAAATCGTATTTGGAATTTTGGGCAGCCAGTCAACAACAATAAAAAATAACGAAAAACAAAAATGTCAAAACTTTTATCCGGCATAACATTCACCAGTAAAGTTGTTCTTATAACCGGTAATTTTTTTTTGTTTTTCCAAAATTTTTAAACTTTTTTTTTCAAAAAAAAAATTAAATTAAAATTTTCCCTTCATCATAGGTGCAAGTAGTGGTATTGGTCGTGAAACAGCTATACATTTTAGTCGTCTTGGTGCTCATCTTACATTAAGTGGTCGAAATTCTGAACGTTTAGCACAAACATTAGAAGAATGTAATCGACAACGATTAAATTCTGAACAAAAAATTATCACCTATATTGGTGATATTGGTTCGAATGAAAATTCTGTAAAAGAATTAATGGAAAAAACAATTAATGAACATAAACGTTTAGATGTTTTGGTTAATAATGCTGGTATTATTGAAATGGGTACGATTGAAACAACATCATTAGAACAATATGATCGTATTATGAACCTGAATTTACGTGCTATTTATCATTTAACAATGTTAGCCGTACCATATTTAATTCAAACAAAAGGAAATATTGTTAATGTTAGTTCGGTAAATGGTATACGTAGTTTTCCCGGTGTATTAGCATATAATATATCAAAAGCTGGTGTTGATCAATTAACACGTTGTTCGGCTTTGGAATTAGCAAGCAAAGGTGTACGAGTAAATTCTGTTAATCCTGGTGTTGTCATTACAAATATTCATAAAGCAAGTGGTCTTAATGATGAACAATATCAGAAATTTTTACAACATTCAAAAACAACACATGCAATGGGACGTGTTGGTCAAGTTGATGAAATTGCTTCTGCTATTACTTATTTAGCATCAGAATCAGCATCATTTATAACCGGTGCATCATTACCTGTTGATGGTGGTCGTCATGCTATGTGTCCACGTTAATTAGATTTTGCGAAAATCCGTTTTTTTTAAAGAAAAAAAAAATTCAGCCAAAATTTTCTATTCTTTTTTCGAATCAATAAAAATTTTCGACTATTTTAACTCTGATTGTTCGCCGTTGTTTTTTTTGTTTTTGTTTTTTGTTATGCTGTTGCCAAGTCACATCTAAAAGTGACATTTTTTTTCTTCTTTTCAATTAGGTTCTCAAAATATAGAATTTGTTATTCTAAAAATCAAAACACAGTGATAATAATGAAACGAAAACAATATTCAAAAATTGATAATGGTGATGGTGATGGTGATGATAAACATCAATCAACAAATGGAACAAAAATGAAGGAAAATGATTTTAGAAAATCAACAACAACATTTGAATGGCATAAAGCATGGTTAATGATAAAATGTACAACATTTTGTTTTATAACAATGGCCATACAAGAACAAACATTAAGGTAATTTTTTCAATTTGAAAATTACAAATAAAATTACAAATATTGAATAATGTTTTTAATGGTTTAAATTTTAAAATTAGATTAGCACCAAAATCATCAAATTTTATTTCATTCATTCAACATTTATTCATAACAATTTGTGGTCTATTAACGATTGGTTTACCATTTGGTTTAGGTGGTAATAGTGATAACAATAATGCCGATAATAATCGATCAAAACAACAACAACAAATACCAACACGTTATTATTTACCATTAGTATTTCTTAGTTTTTTTACTATATTTACAAATAATTTATCATTAAATTATGGTATTTCAATACCATTAATGATGATTTTTAAATCGGTATGTTTTTAAATTTGATTACAAAATTAGTTAATTAATTAAAATTAATTAAAAATCCAAAAATTAGTCAAGTTTAGTTGCCAATATGTTATTAGGAATGTTAATATTAAGACACCGATATTCATTGAATAAATTCATTTCGGTTATTGCTATTACAATTGGTCTAATACTTTGTACAATTGAAGATTATCGTTTAAAACATTCAATGAATTATATGGATATATTTTCATTATTTTTTATAAATTTTCAATCGGAAAAAAATCAATCAACAACAACAACAATAGCAACAACAACATGGACAACAACAATCGGTATAATATTATTGACGGCATCATTTTTATCATCAGCTGCTGTTGGTATTTATCAAGAATATTTAGCTAAAAATTTTATTAAAAATTCAAATGAAACATTATATTATGTTGTAAGTATAGTATTTTCTTGATTTGTAACAAAAAAGAAATTTAAAAAAAAACCTAATTTTCTTTCGTTTCTTCTTCGATTTTTCTTATAGCATCTATTATCGATACCAATATTTTTGATAACATCTACAACCGATATCTATGAACATTTTCAATTATTTTTCAATCTAAAAACTATATTGAATTTTGATTGGAATCTACCATTATTATTAATAATAACTGTACTAACACAATATCTTTGTATACGTTCAGTATATCATCTGACAACTGAATGTAATTCATTATCAGTTACATTATGTTTAACTAATCGAAAATTTTTATCATTATTATTTTCAATATTTTATTTTGGTAATCAATTTACAATATGGCATTGGAATGGTACTATTATTGTATTTGGTGGTACAATTTCTTTCTATTTAATTGATACATTGAAAAATCGTTCAACAAATTTATCGATGACTGAAAAAAAATCAAATTAATCATTGATTGAATTGCCTTTCAAATTTATAATTATTGTTAATTTTTTTTTGTAATTTGTAATTATAGATTTAATAAAATTAATTTTATAAAAAAAATAAAAATTTTTATAAATCAAAATTCCTAATCATCATCGTCGTCACAAGATGGCGTACGCTGTTCCATTTTTTTTGAAAAATTAAAATTTTTTGAAAAAACAAAAATATCTAATCCAGGCATCTAAACACAGGAAATGAATGGAAATTCTAGGAAAAATTCAAAGAAATTTTTCTCTTAAAATTTCATTAATTTCATTACTTTGATATACGACGAAAACGAAAAGCATCGTTTTTTTTTCCTTTCGTTTCTTTTCGGTTGGTTTGGGTAGACCCAAAATGGATTAAAGTTTTATTTTTTGTTTTGTCTGTTAAAAACATTTTCATTGGATGATTGGAAAGTGGTGGTGGTGGTGGAAGGGGGGTCGAAAATATAGTGAATAAAAACTAACGATCTTTCTCCCCACCATTACCAACCGGCCGCCGTCGTCGTCGACAAATTCACCCCCCATCTCCCCAAATGTTGATATGGGAATTGAACTTATACCAGATACATCCTCTCTCTCTCTCTCTCTCTCTCTCTCTCTCTCTCTCTCTCTCTTTCGCCAATCTCTTTTTATAATACTCCACGATATATATCAATAGTATATCTACAACAGTAGATGCACGAATTATTTCTATTTATAAACGAAGTTTGATTGTATATTTTCCAATTATATATTATTATAGATGTTCATAGAATGTTTATGAATNACGATCTTTCTCCCCACCATTACCAACCGGCCGCCGTCGTCGTCGACAATTTCACCCCCCTCTCCCCAATGTTGATATGGGAATTGAACTTATACCAGATACATCCTCTCTCTCTCTCTCTCTCTCTCTCTCTCTCTCTCTCTCTCTTTCGCCAATCTCTTTTTATAATACTCCACGATATATATCAATAGTATATCTACAACAGTAGATGCACGAATTATTTTCTATTTATTTTCCTAAATAAACCAACGAAGTTTGATTGTAGATTTTCCAATTATATATTATTATAGATGTTCATAGAATGTTTATGAATTCATTCCAAACCCAAAATCCACATCAACACACATACAACATACAAAGACCATTTAATGTGTTTATCGCCATTTTTTTCCATTCCCTTTTCCAAAATACTTCACTATAATTCAATGTCTGTATGCTGTGAATCGTGGATTCATCACCAAAACAATAATAATATTGGACTTGATTTTGACTATGGAAAGAGGGGGAAGAAAGAGGGGAAAAAGGGGGAAAGAAAAAGAGAGAATTTTTTATTTTATTTTATCCAATTTATTTTAGCTATTATTTTCATTTTATCACCATCCATCCATTCATTCATTCATTTAGTCAGTCAGTCAGTTTTGTGTCTGTCTTTCTGTCTGACTGACTGTTTGTAGTTTGAATTGAATAAATTCTAACCAAACATACACACAATGACATGGTGAATTTCTTTCTCTATCTGTCGCTCGGTTTTGATCTGTTTGACAGGCCAGCCAGCCAGCCAGCTAGCCAGTCAACCAGCCTGTAATCATAAAAAATCAAATAAATTTTTCGTCAATGTAGAATTACCGGCAATAAAAAATAGTTTGCCAGCAAGTTTAGAACAGAGTTCAACCACCACCATTTTTGTTTTTAAACTTTTTATAAATTTGAATTTGGAATTGAATTTTTTTTAATTTAAAAAAAAATCCAATTCTCATTTACAAAAAAAACAAAGATGGCTAAAAACAAAAAAAAACGAAATTCCCTAAACGCCACCTATCGATAATGGCATTTATTATCCAACAATATTCTTTAAAACTACCACTACTACTACAATAAGGCGGTTAAGATCCCATTCATAAAAATAATCATTGATAATGTCGGAAAAATTCTTTTCAACATTGATAAATAAGGATTTATTTGTAGTAGTAGCATAGGGAAATGATATCCAAACAAAAAAAAGAAAAAAAGTGGTAGTATCCAGAACCGACAAAAAAGAAGAAAGTAGTGGTCAATATCGAACCAAACAGAAAAAAAAACAAAAAAAGAATTGAGCCATTCATACACACAGGACCCAATATACACACAGATACAGAGAGAGATACAGGATTCAATGTTTTTTCTTTTCTTTTTTTTGATGTATATTTTTCTGGGATGTTATCTATCTTTTTCTTCATCTTTTTCTTTCTTTCTTTCTCTCTTTCTATGTGTATGTGTGTGTGTATGGTATCCGAGTGTCAAACAGTGTCTGAACTGAAGAAAGAGTGATAGAAATATCCAAAGAACAAGTTGAAATGAGAAAAAAAAACAACAACAAGAGAATAGAAGAAGAATTGAACGAAGAAGAGAACAATCCACAAGATAACCAAAAAAAAATCAATTCAGCCAAGTTATCTTCTTCTTCTTCTTCTTCTGCTTAGACATCGAAAAGACAAAAAATATATTTTTCAACCCAAAAACTAAATCAACTTGAAATTCGAAATTTTGCCTGATGATGTAGGAACGAAATCGAAAAAACAAGAATTCAAGAAATTCAACTGATTATGGTGGTGGTGGTGGATGTTTTGGAAAAAAAAAGAGATAAAGCAAAGCAAAACGAAAAAAAGAAAAAGAAACCTAGCCTCTCTCCATCTATCTATCCAAACACTGATTTTTTTTCCACTCTTTGTCTTTGTTGTTGTTGAAGAAGAATTTTCTCTTCTTCGGTGTGTGTTCAACATCTTCTTTTTTTTTTTGTTGAAAGATTCAAGTTTTTCTTCCATTAAAAAACTCAATTCGCTGTTTAATGTGATGTGATGTTTATGTAACAAACAGCGATGTGAATGAAATAATCTCCTTTTTTGCTGCTACTTTTTCTTGATTACCACATACGAATATCATAAACAACAACAACAAAACAACGAAGACGAACAAGACGACGACGACGACAGAAATAAATTATTATTCGATTGAATTCAATTTCAATTCAAATGAAATGATGATTGAAATTCGCTATTTTTTTGGGCTCAATCAATGATGATGACGACGACTATTGTTGTTGTTGTTGATGATTAATTTTTCTTTTGACATTTTCTTCCAAACAAAAATTATTATCATCATTTTAATACCGGTAGTGTAATAATAATAATCGAAATCATGGTCGGTACTTCGGCTGGTGTTAGTGTTGGTGGTGGTGGTGGTGTTATGTTAAATTCTTCTAATGGTAATATGATTGTAAATTCTGGATCATTATCTGGTCAATTATCATCATCATCATCATCTTCACCATCATCAACTACAATATCATCATCATCTTCTTCTTCGGCAGCAGCAGCTGCTGCTGCTTCTGTTTCTGCTTCCACTAATCATTCATCATCGATAACAACAACCACAACAACATCATCGACATCATCATCATCACCATTTATTTATCATTCAAATCGTGGACATCCAAATTTTAATCCAACAAAACCGGTGGTACATATACCATGTATACAACAATCACAACAACATCGAACGGTAGTTTTTTTTCGTTTTGTTTCGAATGAATAAAATTTTCATGTTTTTTTTCTTTGACTTTTTTTTCAGGAATCACATTCAAATCGATCATCCAAATCGAAAAATGAAAAATCCAATAAATCTAATCGTAAAGTAAGTGAATGATTTTCGATTGAAGAAATTTTTAAAAATTTTAAAATTCTTTTAAATTTTAAAATAGAAACAATTGAATTCAAAAGATGATCGTAATTCATTAACAACATTATCATCATCATCATCATCTTCGAATCATCAATATGATTCACCATATCATCAATTTGGTTATTATCCTGAAGATGAACTGAATACAATTATTGATGATGAATCAATGGGAGCTGGCTCTATGATTGTCGGTAGTGGTGGCTTAAGTTTAAATAGTAATAAACAAATAGCTGCTCAACGTTATCATCGTAATAATATTCTTATATCAGAAGTATTTTCCGATAAAGTTATGCCCGATGTACGTACAATTGTAACAAATAATCGTTTAGAAGTATTACGTAAACAAGCTGATTCATTAATATTACATCAAGAACGTTCACTTAGTGAATTAGCTAATATGGAACAAACATTTCGTGAAAAAAAACGTAAATTATTAGAATCAAGTGATGAATTTAATCGTCAATTGGATAGATTTGTTAAACAACCAGCATTAGATCAGGAAATGTATCAAAAAATGATCGATACAGCAATGGAACAGATACGACAACAACATAATAATAATTTAATGGAACAAAAACAGCAACAACAACAACAAGAAAATGGTAAAATGGCTATTATGAATGGTAGTAATGAAGCGATCAAAGATGAAAATCAGAAAAATTCACCAGCAACAACAACAACAAATAACCAAAATTATACAAAGCAATTACAGTGCAATGGGGAACAACAACAACAACAACAATCTACTACCGTAACTGGTATGGATAATAAATTATCAGAGGAATCTAATATAAATCCACCATCAACTTCGCCACCACCAACAACGTCAACGACAAAAACATCATCATCATCATCAATGAATAGACGAAATTCAAATGAAAATCTTGCTGAAACAACAACAAATAATAATGATAATAATAATTCATCATCATCATCATCATCATCGCCGCCAATAAATTCAATACAACAGCCAAATAATGAAAATTCATTTCAATCAAATCAATTATCGCAACCAAATAATGCTAATAATAATAAAATGGTGCAATATGGTAGTGGTGGTGGTGCGAATATCATCGTTACCAATCATCAAACATTATCCAATAATAATAATCAACCGAGCTTTAATAATAATAATAATAATAATGATTCCCAAACACAATTATCATCGACAACAACAACAACAATAACCACAACGACTGCAACAACGACAACGATGGCATCAAATTCATCATCACAAAATCCGGTTTCACCACCACCACCAACAACATCGATTCCAGTTGGTCATAATCTTAATCATCCAAATCAGCAGCCAAATAATATAACTGGTGGTTATAATAATAATAATAATAATACTGGTCATAATCATCATCAACATCATCATCATCATCAACATTCACATCGTCATCAATATGGACCAACTTCACAATCGTCTCCAGGTCAAGGTCCAGTTCCAGGACCAATATCATCATCTTCCGCATCATACCAACATGGTCAACAACAACAACAACAACAACAATTATTAGGATCAAATGTTAGCCAATCAATGTCAACACAATCATTACATTCATCAACAATATCTGGTGGTATACAATCATCAGCTGCAATGGAATATGGTACAACATTATCAACAGCAACTATTAATCAATATGGACCAATGAGTGGTAAAATGTCACATTCAATATCAAATAATAGTGGTAATTATTCACGTGGTAATCATCATGGACAACAACAACAACAACAACAACAACCACCACCGCCTCCATTACCACCTCATTTACATCATACAGGTGTTCCACATCATGGACCACCACCACAACAACAATCTTCACAATCAACATCATCATCATCATTGCCACCACATTCAGCACATCCACATCATGTTGATATGAATTATAATCTTCGTAATGCATTAAGTGGACCAACACAAATACAACCAATGGTACAAACACATCCATCATATGGATCATCATCAACAACAGGTCAACAAAATACCGGAAGTGGTTATATACCTGGGGGTAATGGTGGTGGTGTTAGTGCTATAAACCAAGATATGGGACCAACATCTGCCACTGCATATCATCCTCATCATCCACATACTGTTAGTGGTGCTGGTCCATCTCCAATGCCACAATCTCCATCATCTCAACATAATCCTCATCATCCACAACAACAACAGCAACAACATAGACGACCAACGGTAGTTAATGCTAGTGGGGGTGGTGGTTTGCCTATGAATTATGGTCCACCTTCACATCATGGTAGCGGTGGTGGTCCAAATCATCCTGCCAATATGTATCATGGTCATCATCAACATGCATATCAACCAATGATTCCGCCACAAGAATCAATGCATCCTCATCAACAACAACAACAGCAACGCTATGCTGGCATGCCTCCAGGTGGACCGCCACCGCATATGCAAACACCGCATGGTGTAATGCCACCGATTGCATCAAAACCTATGCAACAACAGATGAACAATTTGCCCGGACAACCACCAACAAATCCAAATGGTAATGGGAAAAAATCCAAATCAACGAAAAAAGCAGCTGGTAGTGCAAAAGCAAACGGTGGTGCCAAAAAAGCAGCCAAAGAAAAATCCGAAACAAAAACTACATCGAAAAAATCGAAAGCTGCGGCTGCAGCAGCTGCTGCTGCCGCAGCGGCCGCTGCTCAAGCTCAAGCTCTTTCAGCATCTCAACAACAACCACCACCGACGGGACCTAATCCAACATCAGCGTCTGATTCATTATCAATGATGGCTACAATGGGTTATCATCAACATCAGCATCCACATCATGGTCATCCACCGCAGCCACATTTGCATCACCCGCAACATTCACATCTTCCACATCAACATCCGCACCATCCACATCCACATCAATATCCACTTCATTCGCAACAATATCCGCAATATCCTCCTATACCGCCGCAATCGCATCCGCAAAATCAATCACAACAGCAACAACATCATCCACATGTTCATCCTCATCATCTACCCCCACCACCACCATCATTACATCAGCAACAACAACAATCGCATCATCTTCATCATCATCAACAACAGCAAAGATATCCCGGTGTACCACCGCAATCGCAACCTCCGCCAACAATGCCACATCATCATCAAGAACATCCATCACAGCATCAACCGCCTATATTACAGCAGCATCAATCACAATATCCACATCCTGATGCTCATCTTCATCATCTTCATCATCAACAACAACAGCAGCAGCAGCAACAACAACAGCATCATCATCCGCAACATCAGCCACCACCCCCACCGCATTTACAGATGTCTAAATCATTACAACAACATCAGCAACAAACACAATTACAACCATCATCAGCCGGTATTTATCAACATCATCAACAATATCAACAGCAGCAACAACAATTACAGCAACAACAACAACAACAGTCTCAATCAAATACTATACGGCCAACAGCTAAACAACAACAAAAATCACAATCAATAACAACAAATAATAATAAAAATAATAAAAATAAATCAATCGGAAATAGTAATAGTAATAGTAATAATAATAGTAATAGTAGTAGTAAAAAAAGTGATGATGATGATGATGAAAAAGATAAATCAGATGTAACCGAAGTTGATACAGATAATGAAACAACTATAATGAGTCCATCATCAATTATACAACGTGAATCAACATTAATGATTGGTGGTGATAATAATAATGATCAACAATCGATAATTACAGAAAATAATGATAATAATAATAAAAATCGATCAAAAAATGATTCAAATTTGATTGGAAATTCAATTAATCAGAATAATAATAATATTGGTGGCAATAATAATGATGGTGGTAATGTTAATAATGAAGATGATGATGAAGAACGAACAATGGATGACACGATAGTTATGAATGATTCAAATGCCACAACCACTTCCATCATTGCTGAAACAAAAATATCGAATGATCAATCATCTAAATCGAATAAATTGGTGAAAAAATCAGCAGTTACGACAAAAAAATCTTCCAAATCATCATCTACAACGAAAAAATCAACATCCAATAATAAATCAAATAAAATGATTAATAATAAACAAACAACAGGTAAAAAATCATCAACAACAACAACAACAACAAAAACATCGAATAAAAAAACAACAAATGATAATAAACAACATCCAAAACAACAACAACAAGATGATATGGTTTATGATGATTTTGATGATGATGACGAAGATGAAGATGATGACGATATTGATGATTATGATGATGATTATGAACAAGATGATGATGATGATGATGAAGAAATTGATGATGATGATGATGAAGATTCAACAAATTCTACTAATTCATCTGATTCTGATGATGATGATGATGATGATAATAATGAATCATCATCATCAACAACAAATAATGATGATGAGGAAGAAGAAACAACAAAAACTGCTGCAGCAGCAACAACAACAACAACAAATACAAAAACAGTAAAAAATCGTTCAAAATCAACAACAAAAAATCGTTCCAGAACAAATTCACAAAGCGATTCATCATCAAATATAAATAATTCTACTACTTCTACTGCTGCTGCTACAGCCACAACAACGACAGCAACAATATCTAAAAATGTATCAAATACATCTGGTGGTGGTGGTGGTAATAAAAAACGTTCCACCAGTGCATCTTCATCTTCATCATCATCAACAACACGAACATTAAGACATCGAAAATCATAAGACAAAAATCATTCACTTCACTTCTCGGAACAACATTCCAAAAATTTTACAAACTGGACCAAATCTTGACCACACACAAATCCATGCACACACACACACACAGCTACTGACCAAAAAAACAAATGACCAAAATTAACTGAATGATCAGCATTAACATATTTTCATTATCGTTTTTATCGTATCTGAATTGTAACAATTTTTTTAAAAAAAATTCTCTTTTTTTGCTAAATTCATTTCATTTTTAATCTAATTATGGAAACAAAAAAAATTGATACCAAAAACAAGCAAAATAATCATCCCATTGTTTTAAAAATAATTAATGTATTTTCTCATTAATAATTTATAAATTATAATTAACTGTGAATTCAATCATGATCATCATTATTACAAATATTTAAAATTACAAGCAAATGATGACGATGTTTATTATTGATGGATTCAAAACACAGTTTAAAAAAATTCATTTATAAATCATTTCATAATATAACATTACATTATTATTATAATTATAATTTGCAAAACACTTTCATTTGATGATGATGATTGATAAATTAATAAATAATAATAATAATAAAGATTTTACAAATTACAAATTCCTAGGCATTTTTAATTATTATTATCATTCATTTTTGGCTTTTGACTTTTTCCCTTGTCTGTCAAAACAAAACAGGGTGGGTACAGGATGTGTGTGTGTATGTGACCTTTGAACTGATTTGACAGGTGGACACCTTGTTGTTGTTATTGTTGTTGAATGGTTTTGTTGACCTTGTTTTTTTTTTGGTTTTGGAAAAGAAAATCGGATGTATCAAAGTGAAAAGAATCGCATACATATGAAATGCATGATTGAATTTGAATTACGGGTAACCTTATATATAAACTTTATGTTTTGAAATTATTTTGTTCATTTTTCATGTTCAGCCAAAAAACCGAAAAAAAAAACCAAAAGATAAAATGTATTCAACAAATACATTTCTAATTATAATTTGGTTATTGAATTTTTCAACTTTTATTTTATCATATGATGATTATGATGATAATGATGATATTGATCAATCAATCATTCAACAAATTTTAAATATAAGTAATTTTTGTTTTTCAATGTTTTTCTTTTTTTTTGCCATAAATTTTCACCATTTTTTCAAAACTTTTTTTTCAAATTTTTTCAAACTAGCTGATTGTGGCCGACGTTCAGGATCCAATTTGCATCATCCATATGATTCGAAACAAAAAAATCAATTTGGAACATATATTGTTGGTGGTATTGAATCATCATTGAATTCATGGCCATGGATGGTTGGTATTTATCGTCAAAAACGTTTTATTTGTGGTGGTAGTATTATTGGTTCAAAATATATTCTAACAGCTGCACATTGTGTTACACGTGGTGGTGGTGGTGGTGGTGGTAATTCAACAACAATAATGGCTGAAAATTTAAAAATTTTTATCGGTAATAATCGATTGCCTGTGGATACAAAACGATTGAATAAAACTACAGCTACAACAATATTGAGACCTAATGATGATAATAATTGGTTACGAATGTTGGAACAACAAAATGGACAATTATTATCCGTTGAAAAAGTAATATCACATGAATTATATTCATCAAAATTCATATTAAATGATATTGCCCTATTAATATTGAATGAAACAATCAATCTGAATGATTCAATATTGAATGCAATTTGTTTACCAACATCGAAAATTAACGATAAAATTATTGATGGAAAAAATACTACAATAATTGGTTGGGGTCATCAACAAGAAGGTGGTTTTGTAACAAATCATTTACATGAAGTACAAATACCAATTATAAATAATGAACAATGTAAAAAAATATATGGTTCAAAACGTATTAATGATAAACATATTTGTGCTGCATTTAAAAATGGTGGTCATGATTCATGTCAAGGTGATTCTGGTGGTCCAATGATTATGATTGATAATCAGGATGATGATGATAGTGATGATGACGATGAGGATCAAGACGATGATGATGATAATGATCAACGATATTATCAAATTGGTATTGTATCATGGGGTCGTGGATGTGCACGTCCAAATCAACCAGGTGTTTATACACGTGTTGATAAATATATTCAATGGATTTTGAAACAAATTTGCAGCAACAACAACAACAACAATGACGATGATGATGCTTGTCCATTTCAATCGACAACAACAACAACAACAACAACAAATGAAAATCTTTCCAGTACGACAAATAACGATTTTATTGAATCGAATGATTTAAAAAATTGAATAAAATTTATTTATTTTTTACAAACAAAATAAAAATAAAAATTCATTTTTATTAATATAATTAGAGATCTTTTTTTTTAAATAATTTGGAAATGTGAATTGTATTTTGTAATCAGAAGCAGAAGTGAAAAAAAAAATAAATGTTGAACACATTGAAAGAGTAAAAATAATAATCACAAATTCACATTATAAGTGACAAAAAAAGACTAAAACAAAACAGAGGATAAATATTATTTCGGTGTTTAACATGAAATAGTTATTTGATTTTTTTTTTGTGTGTAAAAAAAATTACCGGATTTTGTTTGTAATTGTAATTGTAATTGTGTTGTAACAATTTAAAAAAAAATATAAAAAGAAAATCACATTCATCGGTCGATAAAAATTAAATTAAAAATTCACAACCCAAAAATCTGAAAATGGTGACCAAATTTGAAAAAAAAAACAATCAGTGTAATTAGTTGGCAATTCAATCAACATCACAAAATTTGATATGATTTGAATGAGTAAAAAAAATGTTTCAGAAAATTTTGAGAGAAAAAAAAATAAATCAGAATCAAAATGAATGCCTAATATAACCTAACACCAAAATCAAAATTATTAGATTAAAAATATTGTTAAAACAAAACCAAAAAAAAAAAAATCAGAATGAAAATTTGGAGAAAAAAAATTTATCTGTAAAAAGTAAGAAATTTTTCCTTTTTTCATTCATTTTTTATCACTTTCTTACGACAACTATGTTCATTTATATCTTCGTTCATAAATATTTGGCCACAACGTTTACATGAACTTGATATAGCTTTTTTTGCATCGACACGAATATTTTTTTGTCCACGAATATAAGCCATTATTTCTTTTTGTTTATCAATATCAGGAATATATGCAGCCAAACGATAAAAAATATCACTTTTATCGATCGATGTTGAACCAATTGATTTGTTAATACTTTCAATAAATACAATGCCAGGAATTTCATTCCAGTAATATAATTGACAAGCTGATACAAATTTATCTATAAATTCATCATAACGACCATTTTCGATAAATATATTCAAAATATATTCATACAATTCTGTTTGTCGCCGTTCAAAATTATTGAACTTTTCAAATTTTTTACTTCCAATCGATAATTTTGATTTATTCGGTGGTTGCGGAAATAATGTTGGAAGAACTTCATCCTCTTTTTTGTTTGGAGATGATGATACACCATCAAGCGAAGGCCATTCATTCACAATTGGTTTTTTTCTTGGCTTTGGTTGATCACGTTTTTTATCTTCACGTTGACGTTCATTGTCTTGCAGAATTGTTGTAAAAGATATTGGCAGTTTTTTGGATTGTTGTTCGAAAGAATTATCAGATATTGCTAGTGGAGGAAATTCTTCGGAATTTTCCAATTTTTGCTTTATAGCAATATTTTGAATTTGTTTAGTTACCGTTTCAAGTGATGTGGAAGATGATGAAGATGGAATTGCTTTATCATTATCAATTAAAGTAACCTTTCGGATTTCAATCTGTGGTTTTTTATCAGGAATCCATTCTTGATTAGGGGGTGGGGAAAATGAACGTTGTTGTTTTGGCTGATGTACTTTGGGCTGTTTTTTATTAGAAATGTTTTGACTTTTTGTTTGCGATAAATTAGATTTTCCCATCATTTTTGCCATTGATGATGCTAATAAATAAAAGAAAATGTATAAGATTTTTTTAAGTTGTCCGCTGGAATTCAAATTCAATCATTCTCAATTGTTTAACTTACCTTTACCACTTAATGATGGAAAATTATCTGAATACCAACTTTCTGGTTTACGTGAACTTGACAATTTTGGAACCATTGGCATAGCAGCATTTGAGGATATGGCAGGAAAATTAATCAAATAACTTTCAACGGAAGGTCCAGCTGTTGGCAAATTGGTCGATTCAAAATATGGCACAATTTTATATTCTTTTCGTAGTTCCATATCGATTTGATCAATATAGCCACGATTAGTAATTGTTGTTTCTTGTAATTGTCGTGATTGAGATGATTCAGGTAGTGCACGATAATTAATATCTTCATTAGGATGTATTGATTTATGTGCTGGTAATTCAAATGGTTCAAAAGCCATATCACAAACACTACAATAACAATGATTTTGTCTATAATGAACAATCATATCAGATTGATCAATTGTAAAAAATGAATGACAAAGATAACATGATAAATGATCACGTTTACAATGTTCCCAAAGAAAATCTTCACTGAAAAGATAACGGCTACAAAGTGGACATTGAACATGTTTGATTGGTGTACCATCATGTAAAGTATTTTCATTTTTAAAATGTTTAAGAAAATCACCATAGTTATATGTTATCAAATATTTTTTACTTATACGTAAAGTTGTAACACAAAGCATACAAATGAACATGTTACCATGACATTGAGTTGTACTAATGGAAGATATTAAAAAAAAATTTCATTCACAAATAGGAAAAAAACATTTTGAATTCAAAAAAAACTTACCGAAAATGTTGATAAAGTTCAACAATGGATTTGAAATAATTATCATCTTGTTGTTGAAAACGAAGTACATCGAATGATCGACATGATTCATTTGAATATGGACAGCCAATAAAAAGAAGTGAATCAAATAATTTTTGAATTTTATATTGATCAATATCATAGAATGCAACCGAACCAATTGGTGTATTCAAAAATGTAAATAACAATCGATTACGCAAATGAGATGATTCCAATGGACTTGCTGATACTACCAGCTATTATTTTTTAAAATAATAAGAATTAATCATATGAGTAACACAAAGATAAATGACTTACATAATCAATTGATTTTCGACAAACTGGACAAAATTTATAAAGACCAATACAAGTGATACAACAATCAAGACACATAGCATGTAAACAATCAGTGTAAGCAATACATTGTTGTTTAATATTGATTAATTGTCTACAAATTGGACATTCGATTAAATGATTCGGTAGTTGTTGAATTGATTCAGCTCCATCTAAAAAATCTTTATCTTCATCTTCTACACCGGATAGTTCAGCTAAGTTATTTTCAACAAAAAATTGTTTACCAAGTTTTCCAACAACGTTCGATATTTTTTGTCCTTTATTTAAAAAGGCAGCCCATTTTGGATCATTCATATGAAGAAATCGTAAACATGGTCGATTTAATGATCGAAGATCATGAATTGCAGCTACATTTAACATTGCAAAAACACCATCATGAACGGAAGGATTACGAGATATTATCAAATATTCTTGTCGTGATTCCAATGGTCGAGAATTTTGTTCCGTTTGTCTAATAAGTAGACTGTTTAAATCGAATTGCTGTGGCACAGGTTCAATACGTTGTTGAACAATTTCATTTAATAGATCGGATGATTCAGGAACAGTTCCACGAACATCAGTAAGTTGTTGGTGTCTTTGTTTTTGCATTGTTTGTTTCTGTTGACGGTTAGATCGACCATTCTGTTGATCAATTTCATTCGATTGTTCGGAGGATTCTGCAACAGAATTACGAATATCACTAAGTTGTCTTTCTTCTTGTTTTTGCATTGTTGGTTGTTGCTGAAAGTTAGATCGATTATCCTGTTGATCATTACCAGATTGATGAACATTTTTACGACGATCAGGATGTCGTTGATGAGCTCTATTATTGCCAGTTTGTCTTTGCTTGTTATCCGAACGATCAGATTGCGGTTGAATCGATTCTTCAGGTTTAATTCGGTGTTTATTGCTGACAAAAGTACGAGTTGAAAAGTTTGGAATACCATCAGTTTGATCATGATTTTGTGCACCTTGTTCCTCCTGTCTAGTAGTTTGTCGATCATTATCTTCTGGTCGCGGAACATTATTACGAGAATTAAAATGACGTTGTTGATTTAAGTTTGGTCTGAAGGGTCGTTTACCACTGTTAGATTGTTGATGAGTTTCATCACCTCTATTATTTTCACGACGATCAGTAGTATGCCGTTTATCATGTTTATTTCGATCAAAACGTCGCTGATTACTATTAAATCGATCATGTTGATTTGGGATTTCTCCGTGCAGCTGTTCTTCACCAGATTGGTCATTTTCACGACGATCAGTATGCTGCTTATCATGTTTATTTCGATCAAAACGCCGTTGATTGTTATTAAATCGTTCATGTTGATTTGGGATTTCTTCGCCTAGCTGTTCTTCATTAGATTGGCCCTTTTCACGACGATCAGTATGTCGTTTATCATTTTTATTATTTTGATCAACATGTTGTTTTGGGTTTTCTCTTCGAAACCCGGCATATTGCTGTTTATCACCAGATTGACCATTTTCATGACGATCGGTACGTCGTTGATCGTCTATAATATTTTGATTATCAGTCGATGGACCAGGTTGTTGAGATATATCTTCTTTATGTTTTTGATTATGAAAAGTACGAGTAGAAAAAGATTGATTTTCATTGGAACGAGTACGTTGGTTAGCTGTATTTCGTGGACGATTCATATTATTCTGTCTATGATTACGATTATGATTAGTAACATTCGATTTTTCAACTGGTCGAGAATTATCAGCCATTATTGCTTGAGGTTGAAGAGAATTATAATCAGGCACAAATCTGAAGAATATCGTACTTCGAAATTAGCACAAGAAATCACCAAAAAAAAAAAATAGAAATGAAAAGAAACTATCTAAAACTATTTGCCACCAGCACCAAAAAAAATCGGTTAAATAATCACAAACAATGCAAGATACAATCCAAGAAATAACCGGTCCAACAAAAGAATCTTGATTTTGAGATTAATTTCCAAATTTCGAAAAAAAATTATTAAAAAAAATACACGTAACATAAACACAAAATTGAAAAACCGATTAAATGAGCAACAATCATCATACACATACACTCAGTGTGTGCATATACAAAAAAATCGAATTCGAATTTTTTTTTTTTAGAATTACATTCATCAATGCTACTACTACAATTTGTTACAAATAAGCTATTATCATTATTTGCTACTACGAGCAATTGAAAAGACCGCTACAATTTGTGTCGGCATGTTTTCGAATAAAAAAATTGGAAAAATTTCAAATTCCCAATTAAGGTATTTGCATTTTTGCTTAAAAATTTTTTTGTTTTCCCTTTAAGTTTGGCTTCGAAGCTAAGTTTGTGTGTGTAAAAAAGCACATTTATGAAAATTTTGTTAGGATTTTTTCATTTTTCTATGCTTCTATCAATTATCGTTCATCATTTTGAGCATCATCAAACCAAAAAAGTAGTGGCATATCGAATAGTTAAAAACAAAACAAAACTAGCCATTCATATAGAATGTAATAAAATAAATATTAATGAAAAAAAAGATTCTTTTCCTTCTTTTTCAAATCGATCAAAAGAAGAAGAAAAACTATTAACCCTTTCCACTCGATGAAAAAAAAACGGGATAACAAACTTAAAAAGAAAATAGATAAAGTGGATCCACTATTTGTATTCTATTTTTTTCAATCAAAATCAAAATAAAATACAAAAAATGACACCAAAAAAAAATGCCACCTGTTGAAAAATGAATAGATTCTGTCATCCATCGTTTTTTTCTCTTTCATTCCTTTCATTTCATTTCTTTAAACTTCTTCTTCTTCTTTTATTTCAAAATGAATATATCCACCACCACCTTTCACATACATCACACACAAGCATCCAAACAACAACAACAAACAAAAAAAAAACATCCAACAAACAGGCAAACAACGAAAACAACATTACACCCACACACACTAACACACAAAATATACCGAGTATAAGGCATGCATGGATTCACTATACACACGCAGACAATGATATAACAACAACAACATAGAAAGATAGATAGAGAACTTGTTGCTTTGGTTTTTGGTTATACAATCACAAGCAATCAAACAAACAAATCAAGCAAGCAAACAAAACAAATCAGGCAAAGCCTCACCTTGTTGGCTTGTGTGTGTGTTATTTGATGTGATGTGATGTGATACAAGTGTGTTTGTATTCATATCTGATCAGTTCATCTTTATCATTTCATCGACAACGAAAAGTTGAATTTTGTTTTGTTTATTTTTTTGTTTAGAAAAAAAAGGTAAAGGTGGGTTTAATATTTCTTCTTTTCGTTCCGTTCTTTTTATTTTCCTTCAAGATTCTGTTCTTTTGTTTGTGAAAGAAAAAAAGAAAATTATCGCCATCATCATTGTCATCATTCGTCGTCGTCGTTCATTTGCTCAGATTTCTCTGTTCGTAGTTTGTGTTCGGTGTGTGAGCAAAAGAGCAACAAGTTGGCCACCATCATCATCATCATTATCGTCATCATCATCAAATATCATTAAAGTTTTTGGACATTTTTTGATCATTTTTGAATTTTGATTATTTTTGTTTATTTTTGTCCTGCTCATCATTCGACATCATCATCATCATTCGAAAATCTTCTGGATCAAATTTCGTGTTTTGTTTACCTTCTTTTTTTTCAAAAAAATTCCCAACAAAAAATCAAACCGGCCGGTTTGATTTTTTGTTTGTTTGTTTCTTTGGTGGTTTCGTGAATCATCAAATTTAATCATAAATGTTCTGGTGTATACCATGAATTGGCTGTTTTTTGGTTTTGTTTTTGCTTCAAGTCACCATTTTGATGTCCAAATCAAACCGAACCAAATCAAAAAAATCTAGTTCGATGACTTTTCTTCCCCCTTTTTGTTTTTGATGATTATAATCATCATCACAATTAAGTGAAAAACAAAACAAGATAAACACATCTTTTATAAACTAAAAAAAAGTAATAATTGTTTATAACCTTGGCATTAATCTGATTATTACAAACACTGGTAAAATATTGTTTGTTTGTTTGGTTATCCAAAAAAACCTGGATAAGTTTTTTTTTTATTTCTTTTAAAAATTTTTTCAATGTAATTAACCTGTTGCCATCGTTATCGATGATTAAATTAGATTGAAAAATTTCTTCTTTTGACGATGATTATTGAAAAGATAAAGAAAATGTTTGTTTTGTTTTTTTGTTTTTTTGTTGATTTCCATAGTAATTTATCAACAACAGCATCCAAAACACAAAAATGTTTATTTCCTTCTTTGTAAAATTTATTTATTTTCTTTTTGTATTTTCAGGAAAATTCTTGTTACAACAACGAAAACGTATTTTTTTAAAAAAATGATTCCAATTTCTTCACATTTCTCGTATTGATACATTCCACATTGATTAATTGTGAACTTGGTTCAAATTTCCAGAAAATCATTATTGAAATAAGAAACGAAACGAAAATGACAAACAAACAAAATGATTTAGAAAAAAAATTATTAGCATGGTGTCAACAGGCAACCATTAGCTATGAAGGTGTTAATATTATTAATTTTACAACAAGTTGGAATGATGGTTTAGCATTTAATGCTTTATTACATCATTTTAGGTAATTATTATTATCTTTTTTTAACCCCTTCCATTCTCATATTACAAAATGAATATTTTTTTTTGTCTAATTTAACCCTTTGATCTCTTTCTTTTTTCGACCCAAAAATTATTTTAGACCAAAATTATTTAATTATGGTGAAATATTATCAATGGATAAAAATGATCGTTTAAAACATTCATTTGAATTATTTTATAAACATTTTCATATTGATCAATTATTAAAACCAGAGGGTTTGTATTTTTTTAAAGTTTTTTGCCTATTTATAACTTTTATCTAAACAAAATTATTCGTTTTTTCTTCTCTCAAAAATCTCAGATGTCAATACACCAAAACCGGATAAAAAATCAATTATGATGTATGTTATGTGTTTTTTTCAAGTTATTGAATCACAACAACAACAACAGCAGCAGCAGCAACAATCAATGGATATCGATCAATCCGGTAGCAATATTCCAAAACCAAAATCACCAACAACAACAACAACAAAACATCCTGGACAATTAAGTATTAAAAGACAATTAAATATGCAAACAACGGGAATAAAATCATCGTTATTGGATCAATCATCACCAACATCATCAGGTAAAAAAATGAAACGTTCAATTGGACAATCATCATCATCATCAGGTATACCTGTTTTATCACCTGATTATCAACGACGTTTATCTACTACAACATCCACCACCACCAACACCAGCACTATTTCTACCTCAACAACAGGTAGTAATATTGGTGGTGGTGGTGATCATCATTTATCATCATCAAATGATTCAAGTGGCAATAAAACAACAAAAAATGATGAAAAAATATTAAAAGAATATGGTAAAATGATTGAAGATTTAATGACATTATTATTAGATGCTGAAGATCGTTTAGAACAAAAACAAAATGATGATCATAAAAAATTTCGTTTAGCTAATTTTGAATCATCATCAACAACAAAAGAATCCCAAAACAATAACAAAGTGTTAATAGAATCATCAATTGATTTTAATCAATTATTACATAACAGAATAATGGCTACAATTGAAATGGCTGAATATGCAAAATTACGTTTTAATGAACATGAACAATTTTTAACTGAAATGACAAATTATTCTGAACGTATTAATTATGCATTTGACCAGGGGAAATTATTGATTGAATCAAATAATAATAATTCAAAAACTACAAAAAATAACATACCTAAATTACAAGATTCAAGATCAATATCTGAAGTAGTTGTACAAATGAAATTATTAAATCAACGTTATAATGATTTACGTTCAATATCAATAAAACATCAACGTTATTTACAGGATATGCTTTTACAAGCACAAAATAGTCAATTAGAAGAATTACGTACATTAATGACAAAAACTGAACAAAGAATATCATTATTAATACCGGAAAAAATTAATGAAAGTCCATATTCATTTGAATCATTACAACAACAAATCGATACATTTAATCAATTACAACAAACAATGAATTCTGAACAACAATTATTAAGTGAAATATCAAAATTTGTTATTGTTGATAATAATAATGATGGATTATTATCAGGTGTTGATAATCAACAATTTATAAATAATGATAATGATTTTATTGATCAATTAGATGCATTAAATGAACGTTGGTCAACAGCATGTCGTATAACTGAAGAACGTGGTGAATTTTTAAAAAAATTATATGAAAATTGGTTAGCATTTAATGATGAACAAAAACGTCTGAATGATTGGTTTGAACGTCTTGAACGTCGTTTAGCTGATATTGAAGAATCAGCTGATGAAACATTAGCTAAAAAACAAGCAACAAAACAGGATATACGTTTTTTAAAAAATATTCAACGTCATTTAGAACGAATGCGTACTGATATTGTTTATGGACCGGATCAATTACATCGTCGTAAACAAACAGAATCAACAACAACAACAACAGAATTAACCGATGAAGAAGAATTAAAAAGTTCACCAATTTCCAAAATAACCGGTTATTCATATGCATTATTAAAATTAGATTCAAAAAGTGATTCAAAACTAAGTCAAAAAATTATTAGAAATGTTGAAAATATTGGTCGTAGATGGGAAACATTAATTGGACAAATTGAATCAATAGAAAATACTGTACAAAATCGTATTGATCGTTATTCATCAATAATTACGGATGCTGATGATGCTGATGATGATGATCGGAAATTATCGATGATCGATAAAGTGAATCAATCACCATCACCACCTGTACCAAAACAACAACAACCATCAATGAATAAAATGATTGAATTATCCAATAGTAATTATTGTGAATGGGAAAATCTAGTCGATTCATTAAACAAATGGATCGATTTGATTGAAAAAAATAATTTACAAAATTTAAATATTGATCAAGAGAAATTTATCGATCTGTTTTCGATTGATAATCATCAGGATAGTGATATTGATATTGAATCAATCAATCTGATTGATTTGGAATCGTTCGATGAACAACAATCAATTGAATATTGTTTGGAACAATGTTCGCCAAAATCTAGGCAGAACTTTTTACCATTATCATCATCATCATTATCGATGATAATTGATAAATTATCGTTAAATAATCTGAGTAATCAACAATATTCATCAATGAAACAGATTGAATTATTTGAACAAGATGATCAAATATTATTAGATTTACAACAACAGATAAAATATCGTTATAATTTAGATTTTGTAAAATTAAATCAACTTTATCAACAACAATTAATCAATAAACATGATGATAATCAATCATCAACATCGACAACAAAATATTATGAACAAATTGAAAATCGTATGAAAGAATTAACTGAACGATGGCAACAATTTGAACAACATATCGATTCATTACGTAAACGTATTGAAATTCTAAAATCATTAAATAAATTACATTATGAAACGGAACAAATGTTAAATGTATTGGATAAATATCGTGATAAATTTGAACAATTTTATAAACAATTAACAAACAGTAATAGTATGGATCAACAACAAATAAAACAACAAATTGAAATGTGTAAAATATCGATTGAAAGTAAATTGGAAAAAGTTAAACAAATTAATCGATATTTAATTGATTATCGAAGGAAAATGTCCGAAATATTTATTTGTTGGCCAAATTTAGAATCGATAAATATTTGGTATCATTATCGATCTATAAATCGATTATTAGATGATCCTATTGATTTTAATCAACAAACATTACAAAAACAATCGATTATAATTATAATTGATATTTTAAAATTTGAAAGAATCGTTTTATTAATGAAAAATTTATCAGAATTATTATTGGCGCAAATTATTAATGCTGCTGACAAAAAAGATGTTGTTGTTGTTGTTGAAGAAGTTACAGAATCAACTACAACAACAGCGATTATCGATAGTCCAACAACAACAACAACAACTGCAAAAGCAGATAAAGTTCGTATTGCAATCGAAGAATTTAATACATGGTTAGCTAAAGTTATTAATATGATTGATGAATATAATGATGATGATGATGATGATGATGATTTGGTTGATGATAACCAAGATATAACTGATGTTACCAATTTGGAACAAGTTGATAACAACGTTGTTGTCAATTTGGATAACAATAATCAAACACAATCTCAAATTAGTGAATTACGACCATCACAGCAACAACCTGGATCAAAATTACGTTCATTTGCCGATCTAGCTAATGCAATCGATAGCCGTATATTTATATTGGCTGATTTACAAAAAACTGTTGATGATGAACAACAAAATTATAGTTTTGCTTGTCGTCGTGCGGCTGAATTTATTTTTAGTAGTGATAATCAACAACCAAATCAACAACAACAAAATATTGAACAAAAAGAATTGATTGAAATTGAAAATTTATTAATAAAATTAAATCCATCGGATTATGATGAACAAACTGGACAATTAATTTGTTCAATACAATCATTAATTGAACGTTGGTCATTATTATTTGATCGTTTTAAAACATTATTACCACAATTAGAAAATATATCACCATCAATAACAGTGTTGGAAACTGAATTTTCACAATTATTAAAATTTGTTGAATCATCGGATCAATTTCTAAATGAATCAATTGCAATTGGTGATTTAGAATCATTGCAATGTCAATTAATTGCATGTCAATGTTTAAAACAATATATGCAAGGTACAGCGGAAGAAAATTTTCAAACAATCATTAATACAGCACAAAAAGCATTGAAATTATTATTAGGTAATGATTTTGATTATTATGATATAATACCAATTATACGTTATATTAAACAAACATGGCATAGTTTATGTCAAAGAATATTAAATAAATTACAAAAATTACAACAAGCTGAAAATTTAACTGAAAAATTAATTCATGAAATTGATAGTTATAATCAATTATTGAATCGATTAGAAGATTCGACAAAATTATCATCAATTGATCAACGTTTATCGATGAATGAATTACCACCACCATTGCTTATTGAAGATGATTATGATGAAAATTCAACTGTAACGAAAATGATTGTAAATGATTGTTTGATTTATAATTTACCAAAAATTTATCTAAATCAATTACAAAAATTACAAAATGATTATAATGAAAATATATTGAATGGTAATGAATCAATAATAAAATTATTATTATCATTAACAACCGATATAAATAATTATCAAACATTAGCATTTGAACAATTAAATAATCAAGCGAAAATATTGATACCAAAACGTATTGAAAAATTACAACAAATTTTACAACAATATCAATATAATTTTGATCAATTAATCGATATTTTACAACAATTGGAGCGATTATTTATGGATGAACAGAAATTTTCCAAATTAATATCCAATGAATTTGAAAGATTAAAACGTCGACAAAAAACTGTTGAAGATATGGAAGATGCATCACAATTTATTGATCAAGTTGAAAATTTAATTCAAAATTTTCATGATGATAATAATGGTAATAATAAGAGACAAAAACGTTTAAAACAAATTGAACAATTATTAATGAAAGATCAGAAAATAATGAAATTTTTTCAACAAATACCAACGATTTCGACAAAAATATTGGATAAATATCGATTAGAAATGAAAAATATTTACAAATTTAATGATGAAAATTTTCCTCAAAAATTAGAAAAATTAATAGAAAGTACAAATGAATTTTTAGATCAATGTAGACAGGCTGATCAATCAATTTGTAATGTACAAGAATGGCTGAATGAATTTCGTAATAATCAATCAATTATTGATTATCAAAATGAAATTGAAACAAAACGTAATGATTTATTTAAAATACAACAAGATTATATGAAAAAATTTGAACAATTATCATTTAATGAAGCATCAAAACGTTTACAAAATAAAATACAATTTGTAATGAATATTATTGATGATTTAATTAGACAACAACAGCAACAAAAATTGACTACTAATAACAGTAACAGCAACAACAATAACGGTACCGGTTTAGGTGGAAATAGAAATTCATCATTACAGGAATCATCAATTAATAAACGCAATTCAAATCGAAATTATCATCATCATCATTTAGCAATAAATTCAAAAATGAATATGGATTCAGAATTATCAACATTGGAAAAAGATTTAGCTGATTTAGGTTCATCAATTAATGAAATGGAAATCATATTTGATACAAATAATGATAATGAACAAACAATACCAACAATATTAGAACAATTAATAAAAATTGATTGTCATGAATATAATACACAATTATCTGGTTTTAAAAAACGTTTTGATTTCATACGAAAAATTGCACAACAAGAAAAATTAAATACATTTCAACAAGGACGTTTAGATTATCTGGATAATACTTGTACAGCATTAATAAAATCATTAGAATTTCGTATAAATGTTCTGAATGATTTATTAAAATTATGTAAAGATATTAATGATAATCTTTTAAGATTAGAATCAGAAGCTGATCGTTTAAAACCATTATCGATTATTATTGATCAAAATGATGATAATCAACAACAACAACAACAATTAAAACAAAATTGTCGTAAAATATTATCAGATATATGTCAATTGAAAGAAAAATTAGATATCAGTTGTATAAGACATTCAGATATATTGATTGGTATTGAAGAAGTTGGTTCTTGTTATGATGAATTATTAACATTGATTGCTGAACATTATGTACTTGATGATGATGATGATGATTTGGATGATAATTTGAATGAAGAAGAAGAAGATCATGATGATAATGATGATCAAATGGAAGATTTGTCCAAATCCAAATCGATTGATTTAACAACAACAACAACAACAATGAAAGAATCTGAATCAAACAAAATTGAAAATAAAATGGATATTGATCGACCGCCACAATCACCATCAACATTGCCATCATTACCATCAACATTACCACCACCAAAAGCAACATCAACTGATGATAATGATAATGATGAAAATAAGATAAAAATTGATAAATCTGTCAGGGAAAAAAATCTATTTGTCGATACTGTTAAACCATTATCCGAACGTATAATTAATAATTTGATTCTTGGTGAACCAGATTTAGATCCAATAAATTCATATTCATTTCAATCATATTTAATTAAACTAAAACAATTAGAACAATGGATTGATTTAATTGGACAACGTAATATTTTTGAATTATCTAAACGTAGAAAATTGAATCCAAATCGTATGTTTCCATTTATGTTAGAAGATGAATTATATGTACTGAATAAACATCTGAATCAATGTCGTAGTCAATTGGAACAATATTTATGTTTAGCAACAATAACTGGTTTAACATCACCCAATCAATCAACAACAACAAATGATAAATGTTCAATTCATCAACCATTTGATATTCCATTGAAATCAACAACAGCAACATCGATAAATGAAAATTATGCAATCGAAATTGAATGGCCAATCGATTGTTATCGGATACCAAAATCATTATTAACAGATGATTGGTCATCAATGATTATCGATCGTACAAATGATTGGGATCAAATTGTTTGTCAATCCATACAATTATTTAAATTATTAGAACAAAAATTTGATAAATCAAATTTGATATTTTTAAAATTACATCGTCATCTGAAATTAATACATGAAGATACAATACAATTTAATGTTGAAATACGTAAATTAATTGATTGGTTTGAAAATGTTGAACTACAAATCAATAATGGCCGTATAACAATGATTACGGCTGATCCAAATCGTTTAGATGAATGTGATTTAAATATAAATGTTGTTGCTCGTACACAATCATTATTAGTTACACAATTACGTACACATATACAATGTTTTGGTCGTTTAAATGTTATTTATGAACGTATTATAAAACATTTTACACCTGAAATTGATAAAAATTTTCAACAATATTCATTTGATTTAAAATCATTATTGGATGCAAAAAATCGTTTAAAACATGAAATGGATAAAGTAACGAATAAATGGAATTCAATTGTACATGAATTAACATGGCGTAGACAATGTTTATTGGATATTGCATTGGCACGTACAACAGCAACCATAAATGGTTATCCATATCGACCTGGTGATGATCCGGATTTTGATAATCTTATTAAAGATGCTGTAAGACATGAATTGAATACAATCGATATGGATGATTATGATGAAATTGTTGAACCATTAAAACAATTTGAAAAATGGTTACAAGATACTGATAATGAATTGATTATAATTACAACAAAATTATCATCATCAACAAATACAAATACAAATACAAATCGTAATAATAATGATAATAATAATTCAATGATAACAATACATCGTCGTTTAAAATCAATTGAACAATCAATGTCAAAACAATTTATGAATTGGATGTTATTAACCCGTCAGCCATTTGTACAGCAATTAAATATTGGTAATATTGATGATAATCAACGTCGAATATTATCGAAAAAATTTGAATCAATTTCCATTCGATTATATCGATTAGCATATTTTATTGAAATATATCTAACAAGTACAACAAATATTGGTCAAATGATACACAGTCAATTAGAATGGTTATTATTATCATTAGAACATTTATATTTGATTGACGATTATGTTTTCAATCAACAACAACAATCGAATGAATCAATCAACAACAATACATTTCCAATCGAATCGATTACATTTCTGGATAATATCCATAATCAATTAATCAATCATGAAAGACAAATTAAACAAATTGAAATATTAATTGAAGAATTACAACAAAATTCAGAACAAATTCATCTGAAAAATTATCAATTAGATTGGAAATTATTACAGGAATTTCAACAGATAAAATTTTTATATAAACAATTACAAAATTTATTACGTAAATTTGGTTTAACATCATCGGCTGCCATACATTATCAAATGAAAAATACATATACTTATTATAATTCTTATCGACAACGTTTACAACAACAACAACAACAACAACAACAAAAACAAAGCAGTAATAGTATCAGTAATAATAGTATTGTTGTTGTTAAAAATTGTGATTGTCGTACTGGTAATAATAATAACAATAGCAACAATAACAACAACAATAATTATTGTCATTGTTGTGAATATAATCCAAATGAATTAAAAAATTATTATCAACAATCAACAAAACAATTAAATCAATGGATTATAAATGAATTATTTTATATTGATTTATTATTGATTAAAGTATCGATTAATAAATCATCATCAATCAATATGAATCAAACAACACCGACAACGATGACAACAATGACACCATCAAATTTGATTAAATTCATTATTCGCCGTACAGAGGTAAGTGTTTTTTCTATTTCTTTTTCTGTTTTGTTCAATATGATTCCGTAAAGATTTTTCTTCTTCTTTCATATAGTCAATTGTAAATAATATCTTCCATTCTTCTTTTTGTGTTCAGTCTGTCTATCAGTGTGTAAAGCAAACATACATTACCTTTCTATATGATTATGGTTGTTTTGTTTTTTCTTGATTTTAAATATATATTCTCTTCGTCTTCTTTTTAAGCTTTTAATAATTGATTATAATGATGATTATATAAATGGTTTTGTTTTGTTTGGTTTGGTTTAAATATGATCATCATTACTATTATTATTTAGTTTTAGTTTTTGTTATTTATTATAGACTTAAGTTTGTTTCTTTTATTTTATTTGTAAATGATATATGTTACAATTTGTTTGATTTGTAATAGATTTTTTTTTTGTTTGTTAGTCCTATAATAATAGATCATTTTTTGTTTGTTTGTTATAAATGTACAGTAATACTTTGATTTATAATAATTTTTGATTATATAATGGTCATAGTCATAGACACTCACTGAACTATGAATCACAATCATTGAGATAGTCATCAACCTAACCTCACTGAACTATGAATCACAGTCATAGTCATAGTCATCAACCTAACCTCACTTGACTATGAATCTCAGTCATAGGCAGATAGTCATCAACCTAACCTCACTTGACTATGAATCATAGTCATAGGCAGATAGTCATCAACCTAACCTCACTTGACTATGAATCATAGTCACAGTCATAGTCATCAACCTAACCTCACTTGACTATGAATCATAGTCATAGGCTATTGACTATATGTCTATTCTATTATAATTTCGATTATAAACGAGATATGACTGTATATTTTTTTTGATATGAAAAAGAAAAAAAATACACAAAAACATATACTTGACCATCATTTGTAATTCACAAATCATATCCGGATCCATATTTATTTTCATTCTCTCTCTCTCTATCTCTGAAACATTTCAACAACAACAATCATTCATTGATTATGCGCTGAAAATATAAAAATAAAATAATAAAATAATAGTGGATCATCATCATCATCATTATCAAACGAATTCTTCATGATTACCAAAAAATAATAATAATGTTAAGCTGTGTGTATGTGAAAAACCAAAGAAATGAAAGATATATAGAGATATTGAGTGAATTCCTGATTCTTTATGATTCTCTTTCTGGTTCTATATAAATCATCATTATCCCAGAAGAAGAAAAAGAAAAAAAAAACCTGAATTTCAAAATTTTTTCGTAAGAATTTTACCCAAAAGAATAAAAAAATTGACAGAATCAAAATACAAATTTTTCTGTCTTGCTGTTTTTCTGTTGATTTTCAATTTAATTCAATTTTGATTTGTTGTTGTTGAAAATCTACAAAAAAAAATAAATCGAATAAACAACACAACAGACGATATTACCATGATGATATCATTTTTATGATCGAACAAAAAAAACTATAACAATTGATAACGACCACCATTATCATAAAACCAAACCAAAAACCAAAACCACTACAACAACGATCAGAAACATTTCTTGGGAACTTTTTGTTCATAGGATACACGTTCTATATATAAGCTCGTTCGTTTGGTGCTTGGTATCCTGAAACCTAAACCATTTTTTGTTTTCGCCTTCTTTTTCTTCGATTGTTTGGCGTAATAAGATCCAGATCTATCAACATTTTTTCAACTGAATTTTTGTAAAAAGAAACTAGATGATAGTTGTGGTAGTGGTACTTAGTGAATGTATTAAATGGGCGCCATTATTATTATTGGAAAAGAAAATTATTTTTTAGATCAAAAACGAAACTAAACGAAATTTTGGTTTGTTTCAGCCATTCACAACACATTGTATGTGTGTGTGTCATTCATTTTCTTCGATTTTTTCAGTTTGTGTCCGATTTCTGCTGGTAGTAATATTCCAACGAACGAAGAATTAGATCAAAAAAAGTGATAGTAGTGGTGTGGTATCCGATACCAGAGAAAAATAGAAAACCTGGTATGATGATGATGATGATGATATATTGATTTGAACTCAATTAGTTTGAGTTCAAAAGAAAAAAATTCTTGCTATTGAAAAATTCTTCTTCTTTGGGGTTTCTTTGGATCTTTTTTTCTTTTTTGTTTGATTCTGTATCCAATTCTACATATACGGGTTGGCCATTTTTCGGGTACGTTTGTGTGTGTGTGTGATGCACGTTAGAATTTTTTTGTGATTCTTTTTTTTCTTTCGTTTCTGGTTAGTTTCTAAATGATTTTCGTTTGAAGATTTTCATGTTTTTTTCATGTTTTTTTTGCCTTTGATATCCACCCATGATTTTTTCCGTTGTTTTTTATCGAATAGGATCTACTTACTGAGCTACATTTTTCTGTATTCATATTACAACAAATATGGCTACAATTATCATCAACAACAACAACTTCGACAACAACAAATATTGACGAACAACAACATATCATTAATCAACAACAACAACAATCAAAACAACAACAACAACAATCATTGACAATCAATCAACAACAACAACGACGACAAAAATCAATCGATAATAATGATGACCATCATGATGATTCATATGATTCATTTAAACGTTTTAATTCATTAGAACCACATCATCAACGTAAACGACAACAACAACAAATACAACGAGAATCAAATTCAATCAATAATGATCTTCTTGATAATCAATCAACAAAATCATTAAATCAATTAATACGACCAAATATTGATTATTATAATCAAATTGAACAAACAATTATGGAACGTATACGTGATATACAACGTGAACATCATCAACGTTCATTACAACAATTATTATTATCAACAAAACAACAACAACAACAACAACAATCGATAGATAATAATGATGGTAGTAATAGTAAAAAAATTGATAATGTTTATGATACAGTAGCTGATGTAATGGGCGATAATATCGATAATATCGATATTAATCAACAATCATTATTATCTGATAATGATAATAATAGTAATAATAGTAATAGTTATTATAATCGTCCAAATGATTTACCTGAAATATCAAAAAAATATCAATCAACAAATTTAGATATGCAACGGCAAGATATTGAACAATGGTTAGATTCAATGGAACAACGTTTAGCTAATATTAGTATTGTTAATAATCAATTTGTACAACAGAATCAGAATAATCAGAATACGACACAGAATAACAAAACATCAGTTACTGCTACTGAATCAAAAGATCTTAAATCACAATTAACAATTTTATCAGTAAGTTTTTTTTTCAGATTGATTTGATTGATTCGATTGATTGATTGATTTTGTTTTGTTTTTTTTGTTTCAATGAAATTTTAGGATTATGAAAGTGAATGTAATCAATATAGTTATCGATTACAAACATTATGTAATTCAATAGATTCAAGAATATCATCATTAACATCGATAAAATTGAATGAAAAAAATCAATCACAACAACAACAACAACAACAACAATCATCATCATCGACAGTGATCAATAGTAATAACATATCGATGCCCTATTATGAGCATTTGATCAAACTTCGTAAACAAGCTAGTGATATGCAATGTCGTTGTAATTATTTATATCTTTGGTATGTTTATGAAATAAAAATTTTATTTTTATAATCTTTGATCTTTAATTATAATTTTTTTTAATATAAAAATGAATTTTATAGTATTAAATGTAAAACAAGAAGTTTAAATGAATTATTATCATTAACATCGTCTTCCTCTAATCGTAATTTATTAATGTCAATGGTAAATGGTGGTTCATCATCGGGTACCGATTTAGGTTTGTTAAAGTTTTTTTATTTTTCTGGGTTTTTTCAATACAAATTTTTCTTTTGTTTTTTGACATTTTTGTTTTGTTGAAAATTAGATAATTATGGTACACAATCATCGAAAAAGTCTTCCAAATCAATTTCATCGATTAAATCAACAAATTTACAATCATCATCACCTGATACATCAACAACAACAACAGCAGCAGCAGCAGCCGCATCATCATCATCATCTTTATCACAATCACAACAAATAACATCAAACAATCAAATATCATCATCATCAAATAATAATATAAATTATAGCCTACATGAACAATCAGAAAAACGATTTAATAAATGGTTAGCTGAAATGGAACAATCATTAGATTTTATTGAAAAAGGTTTAGCTGCTGAAAGTGCACTTATTAATATTAATAATGATGGTACAATAACAAATATTAATAATGATGATACATCACTTTATAGTAATGTATCGGAAATGCAACAAATGCATATGAATTATTATGAAAAGATTAAGGTAAATATTAATTTGTAAATTTTGTAATTTTGTAATTAGAATTTGTAATTAATTTTTCACTTATAAAATCAATAGATAATACAAAGAGAAATTGAACAAAAACGTACTGATCATCGATTATTAATGGAATTATTGGATAATATACCAATATCAACAACAACAACAACAACATCGGCAACATCAACATCGACAACAACAACAAATCAGGATTCAAAATCATCGATTAGTAATAATCGTCAACAACAACAACAACAACAACAATCAATTGATCCATGGTTATTAAAATTTCGTAATCGTATTGAACAAATGAATGGACGTTGGAATAATGTACGTTTACGTGTATTAACATTACGTTCACGTTTAGAATCAAGTTCATTTGTAAATAAATCATTAACATCAACACTAACAACAAAAACAACATGTCCAGTACCTGTTAGTTATTCAACAGTATCATTATATTCAGTTATTAATAATAATCAACAACAAAATTATGGTTGGAATCATCAAAATCAACATCAAAATAATGATAATGAATCAATAATATCATCAACAATAAATTTAATTGCCTATAATAATATTATAAATGAACGTTCACAACAATTAATATTATCATTACGTGAATTAACTGAATGGATTATTAAACAACAAATGGAATTTCAACAAAAACAACAACAACAACAAATACCGATACAATTTTCATCATCTGATCATAATCATCATCAACAACAAATAGCAAAAGAATCGGATGAAATAATACCATTAGATATTGCAAATGTTTTACAACAAAAAACATCATTAATACAATTAAGAAATCAATTGATTGAAAAACGACCAATAATTGATAGTAGTTTATTATCATGTCATAATTTTCTTCGTCGTTTAGCTGTAAAACGTGCACAAGATGTACAACAACAACAACAACAACAACAACGATTAGGTAATCAATCAAGAATATCTGCATCAACATCGATAGCATCATCGATTGCTGGTTCAACAATCAATAATAATAATGATCAACAACAACAACAACAACAACAAAGAAAACAACAACAACAACAAAATGGACAACAAATTGAAAAATTAGAATTATCATTAAATCGTGAAATGAACAAATTATTAGAATTATGGCATTCAGTACAAAGTACTGTTGATATTGGTTTACAACGTTTAGATGAAGCACATTTGGTAAGGTTTTCGTTTTTCGTTTTGTTTGTTTTTGCGATTTTCGCACTATGTGAATTTTCTACTTTTCTTTACGAAACATTTCTTAAAAAATTTCACAATTTTCTCTCTCTCTTCGTTAGTTTATCAGTCAATCGATCGATCAAACCTTTTTTTTTGTAGCCGGAAAAGTTTTTTCTTCTTATTTCCTTTATTTCGAGTTTCTTTGCTTAATCTTTTTGCATATCTCATACACACACTTGGTGTGTGGTTAGAGCAGTGTTTTGTCGTTTTGTTTTGTTTTTTTTCTCCCTTATCTCGTTTGCTTTAAACATCCATCTCTTTCGATTGAAAGCCGGTAAAACCTTGATGGATGGATCATAAACATTGTTTTTTTTTGTTTTTCTGGTGCACACAAATTCTCGATGTGTGTTTTAAGTGAGAAAAAGAAAAACTATTTTTATGTATAGTCATCATCATCAAGGATTTTCCTTTTTGTAGTAGTTTTCATCAAACATAAACAACATACATAACGGACGTCATCATTATTTCTATAACAACAACCATGAAAATAACAAATCGAGACATGTGGCAAGAAAATCAAGAGAGAGAGAGAAAAAAAACCAAAGAATCAAATAATAATCCTTTGTTATTGTTAATTTGTGTTGATTTTGAAAATTCTTGTTTGATTCTTGTAATGTTCTGTTTTGCTCTGTTTTTTCACTGTATTAAGATAAACAAATATTCGTTGGAATTTTTTGTTTTGTTTGGTTTTGGGGTGTTGAAAATTTGTGAAAAAAAATATTCAAACCAAACCAATGTTTGTTTATCTCTGGTGGATGTTTGTTGTTGGCTGTCTAGTGCTTTTGTTTTGTTCTTGTTCTGATTTAATTTGTTATTATTTAAGAAAAGATATGGTGATGATGATGACCCAAAAATAACTCAAAAAAAAACTTTTGAAAATCTTTATAAAAGAATCTATCTATAGTCTAGTAGTTTTTTTATAGAAAAATCATCCATCCATATAATATAATATAATTTTGTTTATTAATATTCTTAGTTTGTTGTTTATGTAATGTTTGTTTGTTTGTTTGAATTGAAAGAAATTTGTTTTTCTTTGTTTGTTTGCTGGCCAGTTTGGTCAAAAAATTTCAATTCAATTTTTGCCCCACCATTGATTCAAAAATGACTGACTGATTGACTGATTGATTATCAATTTATATGATTGATTGATCGATCAATCGATTGAAATTACCATGTTATGCATATTTGCATATGTGAATGATGTAATGTGAGAATCAATTAATCAATTCATATCGATCTAGTCATCATCATTATTATCATCATCATGTAAATCATTAGGGTGTACGCTTTCAATCAATCAATCCGAAAAAAAATTTGTGATCATCATCATCAACATCATTAGCTTTTTTGTGATATAATTTAACAGAGAGAAATTCACTGATCAAATGAAAATCTACAATTCTTCATCGACTAAAATGATTGATCATCATTATAATCATTATCATTATAGACGATCAATAAATAAAAATCAATGGCCAAATAATTTATTTGTAAATTATAAAAAAAACAAACCTTTTAACCCTTTTTTGTTTCTTTCTTCATCCCCTTCTTCAATTGATTAATTTTTTTGTTTTTTGTTTCAATAATTAGCGATTAAATGATTTACAACGTGTTATGGATGATTTAGCTGCAAAATTACATGAAGCTGAAATGGTTAAATCTAAATGGATACCGATTATAAATCTAACATTTGATGATCTACCACAACAACGATCACAATTAAAGGTAAGATTGATGAAGAAAAATTCTGTTCGATTTTCTGATTTGTAACTTTTTTTTTCTTCAAAACATATTAGACATATAATCAAATGTATGTTGTACCAGTATCACGTGATGTAATACATGTGAATGAAATTGCAGCACGTTTAACTGGTCGTAATGTACCATTATCACATGGTAATCTAAAATCATTGGAAGAAGTAACAACACGTGCACGTTTATTACGTATTTCAATTGATGAACGTTCAAGAGAATTAGATCAAATACAACAAGATCATGGCCGTCAACAACAACATTTTTTAACTGAAGCAGTTGATGAACCATGGGAACGTGCTGTTACAAATAATAAATTGCCTTGTTATATTAAGTATGAGTTTGTTTTTTCGGTTATAAAACAAAAATTACAAATTTTTTAATTTTACAAATTTTTACAATTTTTAGCCGCCAAACTGAAACTGTACATCTATTATCACCACGTTATATACAAATAATTGATTCAATGAATGAATTTAATGATGTACGTTATGCTGCATATCGTACTGCAATGAAATTACGTCGATTACAGCTAAAACTTGGTCTTAATTATGTTAATCTAAATAATCTGGTTCAAGCATTTGAACAATATGGTCTTGGTCCAAATAATAATAGTCAAAGAAAATTATCAAAAAATTTAAAATCTGATAACACCACCAACGATGATTCATCTAATGATAATAAAAAAGAATCAACAACAACAAATAATCGTGAAGAAGATAATATTAATGATGATTTACCATATGAATTACGATTGATTTCAGTACCAGATATTGTTTCTTGTTTGAAAAAAATATTTGAAACTGCTGAAATTGAACGACAACAACAAGAAGAAAGATCAACAACAACAACAAAAACATCAAGTAATAAAAAACAATCAAAAGATAAAGAAAATGTTAAAATATTGGCTAATAATAATGCAGATGATAATGATTTAAAATCTTCATCATCATCAATGGCTATTAATATACCAATTTGTGTTGATCTTTGTTTAAATTGGTTACTTGATCTTTATGATGCACCATCACGTGCCGGTTTTATAAGACAATTTTCATTTCAAGTTGCACTGGTATTATTATCACATATATCATTGGAACAAAAATATATTTATCTATTTAATTTAATTGCTAATAATGATAATCATTGTGCTGATGAAAGACGTTTTGGTTTATTAATATATGATTGTTTACGTTTACCAAAATTATTGGGTGAAGTTGCTGCATTTGGTGGTACAAATGTTGAACCAAGTGTACGTAGTTGTTTAGAAATGTCATTAGCATCTGGTTTACGTTCAACAAATACAATTAATAATGGTAATGGTAATGATGGTGGCAGTATTACAATTGATCAAGTATTAGCATGGATACGTGCTGAACCACAATCATTAGTTTGGTTAATTGTATTACATCGTTTACGTTTAGCTGAAAATAGTTTACATCCAGCTAAATGTAATAGTTGTCGTAAATATCCGATAAAAGGTTTTCGTTATCGTTGTTTAAAATGTTTTAATTTTGATCTTTGTCAATATTGTTTTTTATCGGATAAATCAATTAAAAAACATAAACCATCACATCCAATGCAAGAATATTGTATTGCAACAACATCGGGTGAAGATATGCGTGATTTTAGTAAAATTTTACGTAATAAATTTAAATCTGGACGTTATTTTAAAAGACATCAAGCATTAGGTTATTTACCTGTACAATCATTACATGAAGGTGATCGATTAGTTGCTAATATTAATGATAATAATGATAATAACAACAGCTATAATAATAATAATAATAATAATAATGGAGAATCAGAATATGAACCATCATATGTTCATACATTACAAGGATCATATTCACATGCACCATCATCAAATACAACACCTGTTCATACATTAACATATCCACAACGTTCAATAAGTCCTGGTTCATCAATGATGATGATGATGAATACGGCGAATAGAAAAGATTTAGATTTTCAATTTATTCATCAACAACAACAACAATCGCAACATTATACATCAATAAGACCAGGTCCATTACCACCATTACCATCAATGAATATTAATACAAGTGGTATTTATGGTACAAGATCAATTTATCAACAACAATTACAACAACAACAACAAAGAAAACAACAACAACAACAAATAGCTGCTGCTTCTTCTGCGAATAATCAATCACCATCTGGACATCGAATTTTACCAACAATAACAACAGGATCATCGAATAATGTTGGTGGTGATCAAAATCAATTTGTTCGAATATCACCATCACGTTCTAGTCTTAAATCTAATCAAAATAATCAAAATCAAAATAATGATGATATACATCAACGTCTTGGTAAATATGCAAATCGATTAGCTGAAATTGAAAATCAACAACAACAACAACAACAACGACAACCGAATCCAATATTATTAAATCGTAGTGAATCATTACGATCTAATGGACGTTCACAATTACGTACAGGTCGTTTTGATTCATTACAACCAATGACAACAGCAGCATTGAATCAATTACCATCAAATCATCCACATCGTCGTAGTTCATTAAATCAACCTGGTTCAGGTGAACGTCATCATCATCATCAACATTTACAATTTCAAAAACAACAACAACAACAACCAATTTCAATACAAAGTCCAACTGAAATGTTATCAAAAATTGCAGCCGATCAACGTAATGAGCTTGAAATTATTATACAAAGATTACAAGAAGAAAATCGGTAAGTTTATTGAAAGAAATAAAAACTTTTTAAAATAATGAAAAATTTCTCTTTTTTTTCAATTCAAAATAGATTATTAATGAATGAATATAGTCAATTAAAAGGTAAAGATGATGATGATGATGATGAAAAATCAACGAAGAAAACAACAACAAATGAAAAGAATTTACAATCATCAATGGACAAAGCAGCAAAATCCATTGATATTGATAATCAAGCGGTAATTACCAATGGTAGTGGTCAGAATCGAATGAATTCATCATCATCATCATCAACATCATCACCACCATCAACAATAACATCACCACCATTATCAATAACATCACCAACAAATTCATCGGATAATCAACAAACAAAATCAACAACAAAATTATCAATTGATAATAATAATCATGTTGTTGATGGTGGTGTTTATAAATCAACAACAACAACAACAACAAAATCACCAACATTATCATCACCATCAACAACAAAATTACCAACATCATCATCATCATTTTGGTTGGATGAAGTAAAACAATTAAAAAATGATAAAAATCATTTAGAAATAAGAAAATTTGAATTAGAAAAATGTAATAAATTATTAGAAATACAATTAAATCAATTTAAAAATTATATTAATCAACAAACTGGTCAATTGGATGAAAAAACTAAAGAAAAATTAGAAAATCGTATACGTGAAGCAGAAAAATTATTAAATGAACAACAAAAACAACAATTTGAATTTGAAAAACAACAACAACAACAAGATGATAAATTTAATGAAAAAATTTTAAAATTTGATGATGATGATGATGATGATGATAATGATAACGATGAAAGTGTTAATCAATCAAAACATCATTATCATCAACAACCATTATTACATACAGCAGCTGATTGTTTAAATAATGCTGTTGAATCATTAGTAGATGTATTGAATCAAAATGATGACGATCAAGATAATGAAGATGGTCAAGGTGAAGAATCTGCAACGAATTTCCAATTTGTTGGTAAAAATAAATCAATGACCAATGGTCAGCAACAACCATCGACGACGCAATCACAATCGCAATCGACAAATAATCAACGAAATACATCGATTACAAAAACAAAATTATCATTATCAAAACATACAAGTCGTGTTTGAATTTTGAAAAAAAATTCAAAATTCTGATCTTTTTTTTGGATTCTGGATTCTGGACACCCACACATTCTCTCTATTTATATTTACACATATCTTTTTCTTTCTTTGTTTGTTTGTTTGGCAACTTTTTAAAAAGTAAATTTTTTCAGTAATTAAAACATATTATAATTATGCATATCGTGCCCTTAACACTTAAATCGAATCGAATCAATCAATCACCCCCCAAAAAACACACAAAGTGTTAAACAAAACAAAAATGAAATGAATGAAATGTTTCAAAATGTACCTGTATCTTTGTTTGTTTGTTTATGCTTCTAAAAATTAGTGATGATTAATTCAAATCAAATGTATTCTTCCTGTCTGTTTGTTTGTTTGTTTGTTTGTTTGTCTACCTGTTGCCTGTTAAATATAATTCATTCATCATTTAATCATTTGTATTTTGCAATCCAAATCAATCAATTTGATGCAATCACACCATACACACACACAACGTGTTAGTCACCCATCCACACACACACACACACACCTTTATAATCATTATATTAATCACTACCTTGATACAAAGGTGAATTTTGCATTTTTATTTTTCGTTTGTTTTTTCTTCTCTTGGAAATAGAAAATTTTCGGATTGACATTCAGCTTTGTTTTTCTTCTGACATTTTGATAAACATGATTAAGACGAATGAAGAACAGAAACATAAACATTAACACTTCATTACACACACACACATCACCTTTATTTAATTTTGGCATTTTTTTTTCATTTTCCTTTGATTAATTACCATTTTACACATTCAAATTTTCAATTAATCAAATTGATATCCGAAACTGAAAATTGAAAATAAAATTTTAAAAAATTCAATTTTGAAATTAGTGGGAAAAAAAGTTTGTTTTTGTTTGATTTGAAAAGCAGAAAAAAATAGGTTCTGAATTTTAAAATGTCAACTCAATCATCAATTTGGTCGGTTAGTCGATTGGTTGATCTGGTGATAATCTTCGTCGCCGTCGTCGTCGTTTTGAGCGCAGAGTGAGAGAGAGAGAGAGAGAGATGTTACATTCGATTCTGTTACACATTTTTTTGTTCGGGATTTATTCGACAGCAAAAAAAAACTGCTTGGTAATTTTTGTCCTAGTGATGATGATGAAGTTTTTGTTTTTCGTTTCGTTTTGCTATTGTTTTTTTTTTGATTTTGTTTTGACAGAAAAAGGGTGTTGACAACAGCAACAACAACAACGAAATGATGATGATGATGATGATGATGTCAATCAGTCAGTCATCAATTATCATCATCATCATCAATTGAATTGTCGACATTTTTCTCGGTCGACAAACAATCGTTATTCAAAATCTATGAAGAAAAAAACTTGAAAAAATGAATTTTTGAATTTTTTGAATTTCAACCATCCATCCATCCATCCAATTAATGAATCAGGATTTTTTTTTTTGATTTTTGATAAATAGCAACGATAATCTCTTTACCTGTTTGTTTGTGTGCTTGTGTTTTTTCGGTTTTTTTTTTAATTTGAATTTTGATTTTTTAAAATTAAAATAAAATAATTACCTGGGCAATTGTTTTTCGTTGTTTCTTGTTGAACTGATTCCTGGAAAAATTCCTGAAAATCTTTCTGGTAATTATTTTTTCCCTTGGTATTTAGGCCAATTAAATATTAATAATCGACAGTGTCGGCTTTTTTGCTTTCTTTCATTCTTTTTAATGAAAAAAAAAAATTGAAAAATCCAACCCAAAAAAAAAAAAAAAAAAATTAAAAAATTTTTAAAAAAGGGCCAACCTTTTTTTTAAGTTTTTTTTTTTTTTTTTTGTTTTTTTTCTTTTTTTTTAAAAAAAAAAAAATTAAAAAAACCAACAAAAAAAAAAAAAAAAAAAAATTGAAAAATTTTTCAAAAAGGGCCAACCATTGTTTTAACGTTTTTCTGTTTTCTGTTGTTTTGTTTTTTCCTATTCAGATCATCATCATCATCATCATAATTGCCATAGTCGTCGTCTTTGTTGAATTTAAAAAAAAAAAATTGAAAGAACTGGTAACAACTAGTTTATCATCATTATCCATAATAAATCGTCATCATCATTGTGTCTGTGTGTGTGTGTGTGTGTGTCTATATGTAATTTGTTTGTCTGTGTGTGTGTTTTGTAACGTGTAATGAGAAGAAGAAGAAAACTAAAACAATTCAAATTCAACCAAAAAAAAAAAAAAAAAAAAAAAAAAAAAAAATAAAAAAAAAAAATAAGAGGGTTTTTAATTGGT